AAAACCAAAAGAAGAACAGGCAAAACCACTTTTAGAAGAGTTAGAGGAAGCTAAAGAAGAAAAGCCAGAAGTAATCGAAGTGACAGAAACACCAACAAAGAAAATAGTAAAGAGGAAAAGGAAACCAACAAGGAAAGGTGAGGCGACTGTGATAACACAAGAGATCATAGAGAAAACTGGAGATGAAACAAAGATCATGGAGGAACAGCAGATCGTAGAAATTACTGAGACGCCATTGAAGAAAGTAATCAAAAAGAAAAAGACAAGAATCACGGAAGCTGGGGTGCCTGAGGAAGTAGTGGAAGAGATAGTCATAGAGAAGCCAAAGGAAGAGCAGGCAAAACCACTTTTGGAAGAATTAGAGGAAGCTAAAGTAGAAAAGCCAGAAGTAATTGAAATAACAGAAACGCCAACAAAGAAAATAATAAAGAGGAAAAAGAAGCCAACAAGGAAAGGTGAACCAACTGTGATAACAGAAGAGATTATAGAGAAAACCGGAGATGAAACAAAGATTATGGAAGATCAAAAGATAATTGAAATAACTGAGACGCCATTGAAGAAGATAATCAAAAAGAAAAAGACAAGAATCACAGAAGCTGGTGTGCCTGAGGAAGTAGTAGAAGAATTGGTTATAGAAAAACCAAAGGAAGAACAGGCAAAACCACTTTTGGAAGAGTTAGAGGAAGCCAAAGAAGAAAAGCCAGAAGTAATCGAAGTGACAGAAACACCAACAAAGAAAATAATAAAAAGGAAGAAGAAGCCAACAAAGAAAGGGGAAGCGACTGTGATAACACAAGAGATTATAGAGAAAACTGGAGATGAAACAAAGATCATGGAGGAGCAGCAGATCGTAGAGATTACTGAGACGCCATTGAAGAAGATAATCAAAAAGAAAAAGACAAAAATATCTAAAGCTGGTGTGCCTGAGGAAGTGATAGAAGAATTGGTTATAGAAAAACCTAAGGAAGAACAAGCAAAACCACTTTTGGAAGAGTTAGAGGAAGCAAAACCACTTTTGGAAGAGTTAGAGGAAGCTAAAGAAGAAAATTACTGAGACCAGAAGTAATTGAAATGAACAGAAACGCCAACAAAGAAAATAATAAAAAGGAAGAAGAAGCCAACAAAGAAAGGGGAGGCAACTGTGATAACAGAAGAGATTATAGAGAAAACTGGAGATGAAACAAAGATCATGGAGGAACAGCAGATCGTAGAAATTACTGAGACGCCATTGAAGAAGATAATCAAAAAGAAAAAGACAAAAATATCTAAAGCTGGTGTGCCTGAGGAAGTGATAGAAGAATTGGTCATAGAAAAACCTAAGGAAGAACAGGCAAAACCACTTTTGGAAGAGTTAGAGAAAGCGAAAGAAGAAAAGCCAGAAGTAATTGAAATAACAGAAACACCAACAAAGAAAATAATAAAAAGGAAGAAGAAGCCAACAAAGAAAGGGGAGGCAACTGTGATAACAGAAGAGATTATAGAGAAAACTGGAGATGAAACAAAGATCATGGAGGAACAGCAGATCGTAGAGATTACTGAGACGCCATTGAAGAAGATAATCAAAAAGAAAAAGACAAAAATATCTAAAGCTGGTGTGCCTGAGGAAGTGATAGAAGAATTGGTCATAGAAAAACCAAAAGAAGAACAGGCAAAACCACTTTTGGAAGAGTTAGAGGAAGCGAAAGAAGAAAAGCCAGAAGTAATCGAAGTTACTGAAACACCAACAAAGAAAATAATAAAAAGGAAGAAGAAACCAACAAAGAAAGGGGAGGCAACTGTTATAACAGAAGAGATTATAGAGAAAACTGGAGATGAAACAAAGATCATGGAGGAACAACAAATTGTGGAAATTACTGAGACGCCATTGAAGAAAGTAGTCAAAAAGAAAAAGACAAAAATCACGGAAGCTGGTGTGCCTGAGGAAGTAGTAGAAGAGATAGTCATAGAGAAGCCAAAGGAAGAGCAGGCAAAACCACTTTTGGAAGAGTTAGAGGAAGCGAAAGAAGAAAAGCCAGAAGTAATCGAAGTGACAGAAACACCAACAAAGAAAATAATAAAAAGGAAAAAGAAACCAACAAAGAAAGGGGAGGCAACTGTGATAACAGAAGAGATTATAGAGAAAACTGGAGATGAAACAAAGATCATGGAGGAACAACAAATTGTGGAAATTACTGAGACGCCATTAAAGAAAGTAATCAAAAAGAAAAAGACAAGAATCACAGAAGCTGGTGTGCCTGAGGAAGTAGTGGAAGAGATAGTCATAGAGAAGCCAAAGGAAGAGCAGGCAAAACCACTTTTGGAAGAGTTAGAGGAAGCGAAAGAAGAAAAGCCAGAAGTAATCGAAGTGACAGAAACACCAACAAAGAAAATAATAAAGAGGAAAAAGAAACCAACAAGGAAAGGTGAGGCGACTGTGATAACACAAGAGATTATAGAGAAAACTGGAGATGAAACAAAGATCATGGAGGAACAACAAATTGTGGAAATTACTGAGACGCCATTAAAGAAAGTAATCAAAAAGAAAAAGACAAGAATCAATGAAGCTGGTGTGCCTGAGGAAGTGATAGAAGAATGGTCATAGAAAAACCAAAGGAAGAACAGGCAAAACCACTTTTGGAAGAGTTAGAGGAAGCGAAAGAAGAAAAGCCAGAAGTAATCGAAGTGACAGAAACACCAACAAAGAAAATAATAAAGAGGAAAAAGAAACCAACAAGGAAAGGTGAGGCGACTGTGATAACACAAGAGATTATAGAGAAAACTGGAGATGAAACAAAGATCATGGAGGAACAACAAATTGTGGAAATTACTGAGACGCCATTAAAGAAAGTAATCAAAAAGAAAAAGACAAGAATCACAGAAGCTGGTGTGCCTGAGGAAGTAGTGGAAGAGATAGTCATAGAGAAGCCAAAGGAAGAGCAGGCAAAACCACTTTTGGAAGAGTTAGAGGAAGCGAAAGAAGAAAAGCCAGAAGTAATCGAAGTGACAGAAACACCAACAAAGAAAATAATAAAGAGGAAAAAGAAACCAACAAGGAAAGGTGAGGCGACTGTGATAACACAAGAGATTATAGAGAAAACTGGAGATGAAACAAAGATCATGGAGGAACAACAAATTGTGGAAATTACTGAGACGCCATTAAAGGAAAGTAATTAAAAAGAAAAAGACAAGAATCAATGAAGCTGGTGTGCCTGAGGAAGTGATAGAAGAACTGGTTATAGAAAAACCTAAGGAAGAACAGGCAAAACCACTTTTGGAAGAGTTAGAGGAAGCGAAAGAAGAAAAGCCAGAAGTAATCGAAGTTACTGAAACACCAACAAAGAAAATAATAAAAAGGAAGAAGAAACCAACAAAGAAAGGGGAGGCAACTGTGATAACAGAAGAGATTATAGAGAAAACTGGAGATGAAACAAAGATCATGGAGGAACAACAAATTGTGGAAATTACTGAGACGCCATTGAAGAAAGTAATCAAAAAGAAAAAGACAAGAATCACTGAAGCTGGTGTACCTGAGGAAGTAGTGGAAGAGATCGTAATAGAAAAGCCAAAAGAAGAACGGCTTATACCTATTACCGAAGTAGGCGAATCTGTAAAAATTTCAGAAGTTCAAATTGCAGAAGACGTTGATGTAAATGCGGAGGTGTCTATACAAAAGGACGTAGATGAAGTTCCTCGTTTAAAGAAGAAGAAGAAGAAAGTTCCTAAGAAGGATGAAATAGAGGAGTGGGTAGAACCGGAATATGAAAAACCGATTTTAGAGCCATTACCAGAGAAAATAGAGAGGGTTCCAAAAAAGAAGAAAGAAAAGAAACCACTTCCTCCAGAGTTACAGAAATTGATACCACAAAAAATAGAAAGAAAAGAAATAAAACCGACAAAACTGCAATATTCGAAACCTGAAGAAGTTGTTCAAATTGGTACAATAAAATTGCGGAAAGTTACAGTACCAAAGAAGAAAGAACCTAAAGTAGCAAAAATACCAAAGGTTTTATTGCGTAGCAGGATTACGTTTATTGGTGATTATCCACCAGAATTGCAAAAACCAAAGCTTACGCTTCTTGAAGAAAATCCTGTTCAAGTTGGTATTCTTTCAAGGAATGCGGAAGAAGCACTTAAAGTATTAAAGAAAAAGATTAAAAAACCCAAATTACCAGAAAAAGAAATAACGGAATTAGAAAAATTGGATAAGGAATTTGAGAAATTGAAGGAGATTCCTTTAGAGGAAATAGAAGATAAGTCAGTATATGAACGTAAGCCTAAGAAAAAGACGGAGGAACCTGAGAAACCACAAAAATTGATTATACAAAAAGGTAAGGTTCCTGCACAGGAAGAACCACAACCTGAAGAGATTAAATTAAAGAAAATACCCGTTAAAGAAATAGAAGAAATCGAAGAGACTCCAAAGAAACCAGTGAAAGAAGCTACAGAGACAAAAGAACCTAAAGAAAAGAAACGAAAGCCCAAAACAAAACTTGAGCATGAAGAATTTAAACCTACTGAATTTGACAGGCCAGAGCTCGAAAAGTATGTACCTGAAGAAGTTGAAAAACCAGAGGAGCCTCAACCAGAACCTACACCAAAGCCTTATGTTAAAGAGGAACGAAAGAAACCTGATCAAGAAATCGAACAAATCCCATTAATTCCGGGAAAACCGAAACCTCCAGGACCAGAAGAAGAACCGGAAGTAAAGTTCCGAATACCACAAAAAGAAAAACCAGAAGAAGAACCAGAAACTATAAAATTAAAAGGTTGGAAGAAAGAAAAGCCAGAAGATGAAGGACCTGAAAAATTCCCGAGTATAAAAGCCGAAGGTCTTCCTGAACATCCAAAAGATGAAATAGATGAAAATATAACAATACGTAAAACGAAGTTGAAAAAACCTAAGAAAAAAGCTGCTCCAGATGAATCACCTGATGAGCATTTGATAGAACAGGTTCCTACCCGAGAGGAAAGTCCAAAAGATATTACAGTAACCTTAGATAAATCTGAAGACATTAAAAAAGAAGAAGAATTAAGTGTACCAGAGGAAGTAAAGGAGAAACCTGTTGCTAAAAAGAAGAAAAAGAAAATTCCTAAGAAAGATGAAATAGAAGAGTGGGTAGAACCAGAATATGAAAGACCTGTGTTAGAACCCATGCCAGAAAAGATACAATGGGAACCAACGAAGAAGAAGAAAGAGAAAAAACCGCTACCTCCAGAGCTTCAGAAATTAGTACCACAAAAGATAGAAAGAAAGGAAATAAAACCAACAAAATTAAAATACATGGAGCCACAAGATGTCGTACAATTCGGCTCAATAAAGTTGAAGAAAGTAGCAGTGCCAAAGAAAAAGGATAGTACAGTAGCAAAAATTCCAAAAGTCTTATTACGCAGTTGGATCACATTTATTGGTGACTATCCACCAGAATTGCAAAAACCAAAGCTTACGCTTCTTGAAGAAAATCCTGTTCAAGTTGGTATTCTTTCAAGGAATGCGGAAGAAGCACTTAAAGTATTAAAGAAAAAGATTAAAAAACCAAAATTACCAGAAAAAGAAATAACGGAATTAGAAAAATTGGATAAGGAATTTGAGAAATTGAAGGAGATTCCTTTAGAGGAAATAGAAGATAAGTCAGTATATGAACGTAAGCCTAAGAAAAAGACGGAGGAACCTGAGAAACCACAAAAATTGGTTATACAAAAAGGTAAGGTTCCTGCACAGGAAGAACCACAACCTGAAGAGATTAAATTAAAGAAAATACCTGTTAAAGAAATAGAAGAAATCGAAGAGACTCCAAAGAAACCAGTAAAAGAAGCTACAGAGACAAAAGAACCTAAAGAAAAGAAACGAAAACCCAAAACAAAACTTGAGCATGAAGAATTTAAACCTACTGAATTTGACAGGCCAGAGCTCGAAAAGTATGTACCTGATGAAGTTGAAAAACCAGAAGAGCCTCAACCAGAACCTACACCAAAGCCTTATGTTAAAGAGGAACGAAAGAAACCTGATCAAGAAATCGAACAAATCCCATTAATCCCGGGAAAACCGAAACCTTCAGAACCAGAAGAAGAACCGGAAGTAAAGTTCCGAATACCACAAAAAGAAAAACCAGAAGAAGAACCGGAAACTATAAAATTAAAAGGTTGGAAGAAAGAAAAGCCAGAAGATGAAGGCCCGGAAAAACTCCCGAGTATAAAAGCCAAAGGTCTTCCTGAACATCCAAAAGATGAAATAGATGAAGATATAACAATACGTAAAACGAAGTTGAAAAAACCTAAGAAAAAAGCTGTCCCGGAAAAAATGGTTGATGAAGAGACAAAACCGGATTTATCTCCAGTAGAAAAAGAACGGACTGTCGTTATGGTAGAGAAAGTTCCTACTGAAGAAGAAAAACCCAAAGAAATTGAACAAGTGGAAGATACAACTACAGAAGAAATTGTAGAAAAGGTAGTGGTAAGGAAGAAAAAGAAAAAGGTTGATGATTTATCAGAAAAAGAGGAAAAAGTAAATGGCATCCCGTTAGGTAAGGATGAAATAATGGAAGTTGCAGATATTATCACTTTAGTGGAACATAAAGACACGTTAAATAAAGACAAAACTGTACCACTCTTAACAGCTTTAACTGATGATATAGAAGACACTACACCAGAAACACACGATAGACCAAAATACACAAGACCGTTAAAACCTAAAACTGATGAAATCGTATCAGGAGGTAAGCCCATTTTTACATAATATTGTCAATCCTAAAAAGCTATATATATATATATATATATATATATATATATATATATTATATATATTATATATATTATATATATTATATATATAGATATATATTATGCATCTGTTCGTAAAATATTTCCAAAAAAATACAACACAAGCATACGCATATAACACCATTTACTATCTTATTCATTCATGCAGACAATATCGGCTGAGATTTACCTGGGATTGGTTGTATCAGTAATTTAAACGGAAATATCATATTAAAATAGTATTTAAAATTAACATTAAATTAAATTGATATATATTTATGATTAAAATATTTATTTCTATTTATTATATTAGCAGTGAAAAATGAAAGAACGTAACGATATATTTACTTACACCTTAAAAATAGTGACATTAAAATTTTTACAGAATAAAATTACTGAGCTAATTATTTAATATTTATTACATGCATTAATATAATTACTTTTATTTTACAGATATTGTAGAGAAGACAACAGAAGAGGTGAGATAAACTGACATAAAAACATAATTGTATATATATATATATATATAAAAAATTTTTAAACAATATTAACGTTATATTATATTTGTAAAATAACAGGAAATTCAGGAAGAAATTATCGAAGAAACTCCTACTAAAAAAGTTGTTAAAAAGAAGAAAAAGCCACAGAAAGTAACCGATGAAGTCACGGAGGAAATCGTTGAAGAATTAATAATAGAAAAACCAAAGAAAGAGAAAGTTCAACCTGTCACGGATGTAACGGAAAGTGCTCAAATTACAGAAATTAAAATAGAAGCTCCTGAAACGAAAGAAGAAACTCTTATCATAGAAGAAGAGGAAATAATAGAATCTCCAACGCGTAAAATTATAAGAAAGAAAGTTAAACCAAAATCAAAAGAAAAAGAAGAACAGGTTATTGAAGAGATTTTGGAAAAACCATTAGAAAAGATATCGACCATAGAAAAGAAAGGTATTGTAGAAATTGTAGAAACACCTTCGAAGAAAATCATTAGGAAGAAAACAACTGTTATAAAAGACGATGGTATTCCAGAGGAAGTGATAGAAGAGTTTGTTATAGAAAAACCAAAGGAGGAAAAAGCTAAGCCCATCGTAGAAGAAGAAAAGAAAGCTGTGGAACAAATAGTTGAAGTTATTGAAACTCCAACAAAGAAAGTAATCAAAAAGCAAAAACCAGCAAAGAAAGATGAGTCCATCATTGTTACCCAGGAAGTAATAGAAAAAACAGCTGATGAAGCCAAAATTATGGAGGAGCAACAGATAATAGAGATCACTGAAACACCATCGAAAAAAGTAATAAAAAAGAAAAAGAGCATGATTACAGAATCTGGAATACCTGAAGAACGAATTGAAGAAATCGTTATGCAAAAACCTATCACTGCAAAAGCATTGGAGGAAATTGTGTCAAAGGAAGGTATACAAATAATAGAAATAATAACAGGATCTTATATAGAAGAGCTACCACAGCAAGAAACAATTTCCCCAGAGGAAGCAACACAAACTGAGCTTAAGGAAGAAAAAGTCAAGGTAACCGATATTACTATTAAAAGAGCACCAAAGAAAAAGAAGAAAGCAGATGATATACAAGAACAAATAGTAGAGGAACGGGTTGAAGAAATAGTTTCGAAAAAACCAGAAAAGGAAAAAATTTCTCCTATCATTACAACAGAAGACAGCATACAAGTAACCGAAACAATATCAGAAGATACGACGCAACAAATTCCAGAATTAAAAGTTAAGAAAGATGTTGCAAAACCAGAAGAAATTATTGAAGAAAAAATTAAAGTGGATAAGATCTTAGTAATGAAGGTTCCAAAGGAAACGCAAGAAGATGTATTAGAAATTAGTGAAGTTCCACTCCAAATAGAAAAATCAAAGGAAGAGCAAGTTTCTGTTATTGAAGAAGGAGAAGCAAAAGAAATTGCAAAGACTACAAAGGTTTCTATTGAAACAGCACCCAAAAAATCGAAAGTTAAAGATGTCAAAGAACAACCGGAGAAAGCAATAGAAGACATTTCTTCTGAAAAAGTTGCAAAGAAAAAAGCTAAAAAAATACTCCCTACTCCATTAGATGAAAAGAAAGCTGTGGAAAAAGAAGAGGAGAAACCGGAAGAAACAATTCAAGAAATAGAATTGAAAAAAGCAAAACAAGAAAAAGCAACGCCTGAAGTTATTCCTATAGAAGGTATTGAGATAACAGAAATAACGACAGAAATAACTTCACAAGAATTACCTGAAGAACAAACGCAAACAGGTCAAGCTCATCCAATATTGAAGAAAGAGGAAAAAGTTAAAGTAACAAAAACACATGTTCAGAAGTTTCCCAAGAAGCAGAAGGAAGAACAACAAGAGGATACTGTAGAAGAACTTAAACTGGATAAACGAATCGAAGAAAAACCGAAGACAACAATCATAATGCAAGAAAGTATACAAACGACAGAAGTGTTTCCGGATACAAGGACAAGTGAAATACCAACAGAGGAGAAACCAAAGACAGAAAAAGGACTTCCGATTGAAGAAAAACCAGAGGAAAAGCCTGAAGTAACAAAAGTTTCTGTAAAGGAGGCACCTAAAAAGAAAATTTCATTACCCGAGAAAGAAGAAAAACCGGATGTTATTCCTATAAAAGAAGATCTCCCTAAATCAGTCGATAAACAAGATATAACAGTCCAACCAGAAAAACCAAAAGAAATAGAGAAAGAAGAATTAAGTGTACCAGAGGAAGTAAAGGAGAAACCTGTTGCTAAAAAGAAGAAAAAGAAAATTCCTAAGAAAGATGAAATAGAAGAGTGGGTAGAACCAGAATATGAAAGACCTGTGTTAGAACCGATGCCAGAAAAGATACAATGGGAACCAACGAAGAAGAAGAAAGAGAAAAAACCGCTACCTCCAGAGCTTCAGAAATTAGTACCACAAAAGATAGAAAGAAAGGAAATAAAACCAACAAAATTAAAATACATGGAGCCACAAGATGTCGTACAATTCGGCTCAATAAAGTTGAAGAAAGTAGCAGTGCCAAAGAAAAAGGATAGTACAGTAGCAAAAATTCCAAAAGTCTTATTACGCAGTTGGATCACATTTATTGGTGACTATCCACCAGAATTGCAAAAACCAAAGATTACGCTTCTAGAGGAAAATCCTGTTCAAGTTGGTATTCTTTCAAGGAATGCGGAAGAAGCATTAAAGATATTAAAGATAAAATATAAAAAACCTAAATTACCAGAAAAAGAAATAACGGAATTAGAAAAATTGGATAAGGAATTTGAGAAATTGAAGGAGATTCCTTTAGAGGAAATAGAAGATAAGTCAGTATATGAACGTAAGCCTAAGAAAAAGACGGAGGAACCTGAGAAACCACAAAAATTGGTTATACAAAAAGGTAAGGTTCCTGTACAGGAAGAACCACAACCTGAAGAGATTAAATTAAAGAAAATACCCGTTAAAGAAATAGAAGAAATCGAAGAGACTCCAAAGAAACCAGTAAAAGAAGATACAGAGACAAAAGAACCTAAAGAAAAGAAACGAAAGCCTAAAATGAAACTTGAGCCCGAGGAATTTAAACCTACTGAATTTGACAGGCCAGAGCTCGAAAAGTATGTACCTGAAGAAATTGAAAAACCAGAAGAGCCTCAACCAGAACCTACACCAAAGCCTTATGTTAAAGAGGAACGAAAGAAACCTGATCAAGAAATCGAACAAATCCCATTAATTCCGGGAAAACCGAAACCTCCAGAGCCAGAAGAGGAACCGGAAGTAAAGTTCCGAATACCACAAAAAGAAAAACCAGAAGAAGAACCAGAAACAATAAAATTAAAAGGTTGGAAGAAAGAAAAGCCAGAAGATGAAGGTACAGAGGAATTCCCCAGCAAAGAAAAGGAAATTGCCCCTAAACTTCCTGAAGAAGAAACAGAAGAAATTATTGTAAAGCCTAAAGCCAAGCTAAAGAAACCTAAAAAGAAGCCCGTAGAAGAAGAATTACAGGAAGAAGTAACAATTAAAAAACCTATTGTCGAAGAGGAAAAAGAAGAGATAACAGAGGAAGTTACATTGAAGAAAAAACCAAAAGAAAAGCCGGCTCTGGAAGAAATGGCTGAAGAAATAGTTTTGAAAAAACCTAAAGAAGAAGAAAAAACTCCAGAATTAATATCTGAAGAGGTAGCAATAAAGAAAAAACCAAAGAAGAAACCTGTAACTGAGGAAGCAGCGGATGAGGTCATAATCAAGAAACCTGTTGTTGTGGAAGAGGAAAAGGAAGAAGTAGTAGAGGAAATTAAGTTAAAGAAGAAACCAAAGAAAGAGCCTGTGCCTGAAGAAGTAACTGAAGAAGTTGTCTTGAAAAAACCAGAACCTAAAAAAGAAGAGAAAGCTCCTGAAGAGGTAACTGAAGAAGTAGCGATAAAGAAAAAACCAAAGAAGAAACCAGTAACTGAAGAAGCAGCGGATGAGGTCATAATCAAGAAACCTGTTGTTGTGGAAGAGGAAAAGGAAGAAATAGTAGAGGAAATTAAGTTAAAGAAGAAACCAAAGAAAGAACCTGTGCCTGAAGAAGTAACTGAGGAAGTTGTCTTGAAAAAACCAGAACCTAAAAAAGAAGAGAAAGCTCCTGAAGAGGTAACTGAAGAAGTGGCCATAAAGAAAAAACCAAAGAAGAAACCAGTAACTGAGGAAGCAGCGGATGAGGTCATAATCAAGAAACCTGTTGTTGTGGAAGAGGAAAAGGAAGAAGTAGTAGAGGAAATTAAGTTAAAGAAGAAACCAAAGAAAGAGCCTGTGCCTGAAGAAGTAACTGAAGAAGTTGTCTTGAAAAAACCAGAACCTAAAAAAGAAGAGAAAGCTCCTGAAGAAGTAACTGAAGAAGTAGCGATAAAGAAAAAACCAAAGAAGAAACCAGTAACTGAAGAAGCAGCGGATGAGGTCATAATCAAGAAACCTGTTGTTGTGGAAGAGGAAAAGGAAGAAATAGTAGAGGAAATTAAGTTAAAGAAGAAACCAAAGAAAGAGCCTGTGCCTGAAGAAGTAACTGAAGAAGTTGTCTTGAAAAAACCAGAACCTAAAAAAGAAGAGAAAGCTCCTGAAGAGGTAACTGAAGAAGTGGCTATAAAGAAAAAACCAAAGAAGAAACCTGTAACTGAAGAAGCAGCGGATGAGGTCATAATCAAGAAACCTGTTGTTGTGGAAGAGGAAAAGGAAGAAATAGTAGAGGAAATTAAGTTAAAGAAGAAACCAAAGAAAGAGCCTGTGCCAGAAGAAGTAACTGAAGAAGTTGTCCTGAAAAAACCAGAACCTAAAAAAGAAGAAAAGGCTCCTGAAGAGGTAACTGAAGAAGTGGCCATAAAGAAAAAACCAAAGAAGAAACCAGTAACTGAAGAAGCAGCGGATGAGGTTACAATCAAGAAGCCTGTTGTTGTGGAAGAGGAAAAGGAAGAAGTAGTAGAGGAAATTACGTTAAAGAAAAAACCAAAGAAAGAGCCTGTGCCTGAAGAAGTAACGGAAGAAGTTGTCCTGAGAAAACCAGAACCTAAAAAAGAAGAAAAGGCTCCTGAAGAGGTAACTGAAGAAGTGGCCATAAAGAAAAAACCAAAGAAGAAACCAGTAACTGAAGAAGCAGCGGATGAGGTTACAATCAAGAAGCCTGTTGTTGTGGAAGAGGAAAAGGAAGAAGTAGTAGAGGAAATTACGTTAAAGAAGAAACCAAAGAAAGAGCCTGTGCCTGAAGAAGTAACGGAAGAAGTTGTCTTGAAAAAACCAGAACCTAAAAAAGAAGAAAAGGCTCCTGAAGAGGTAACTGAAGAAGTGGCTATAAAGAAAAAACCGAAAAAGAAACCAGTAACTGAAGAAGCAGCGGATGAGGTTACAATCAAAAAGCCTGTTGTTGTGGAAGAGGAAAAGGAAGAAGTAATAGAAGAAATTACGTTAAAGAAGAAACCAAAGAAAGAGCCTGTGCCTGAAGAAGTAACTGAAGAAGTTGTCTTGAAAAAACCAGAACCTAAAAAAGAAGAAAAGATTCCTGAAGAGGTAACTGAAGAAGTGGCTATAAAGAAAAAACCAAAGAAGAAACCAGTAACTGAAGAAGCAGCGGATGAGGTTACAATCAAAAAGCCTGTTGTTGTGGAAGAGGAAAAGGAAGAAGTAATAGAAGAAATTACGTTAAAGAAGAAACCAAAGAAAGAGCCTGTGCCTGAAGAAGTAACTGAGGAAGTTGTCTTGAAAAAACCAGAACCTAAAAAAGAAGAAAAGGTTCCTGAAGAGGTAACTGAAGAAGTGGCTATAAAGAAAAAACCAAAGAAGAAACCAGTAACTGAAGAAGCAGCGGATGAGGTTACAATCAAGAAGCCTGTTATTGTAGAAAAGGAAAAAGATGATGAAACTGTAGAGGAGATTACTTTGAAGAGAAAACCAAAGAAAAAGTCGTCTGTAAGCGAAGATATTGAAGAAACTGAGGTAATTATAAAGAAAGTTGAGAAACCAAGGGAAAAGGATGAAGTACGTACTGATATAACGTTAAAGAAAAAGAAAGAAGTTAAACCTAAAGTAGAAGAAGTTGGAGCAGATGAATTAACGATCCAACGAACGGAAGAAATCGAAGTACCAGAGGAAGAAGAATTGATCGGAGAATTCACGTTCAAACGTAAACCGCCGAAACAAGCACCTAAACCAATTGAAGAATTGTACGAAGATGTTACATTACGTAAATTACGTCCAAAAAGGAAACCGAGAACCGACATTAAAGAAGTTACTGAAATAGAAAATGTGACATTCAGACCACGTCGAACGAAAACTAAAGAAGATGTTGAGCAAGAGTTTAAAATCTCATTGAACACGTATGAAGAAGAAGATATTTCGATGTCCGGTAAAGTTCGCCTGAAACCGAAAAAACGTGAAATGACATATTCAGAAGAAACTGGAGAAGAAACAATACGACTTATTCAAGAAGTTGAAGATGACTCTGGTCCTATCATAGAAGAAATCATTGATGAATCTGATGAAGAAGATAGAGAACAATATAGTATCGAAGAACTTGAAACCGACGAACTAAAACTTCCTTTGAGAAGGAAAGTAAAGAAACAACCTCGTCCATATTCTGTAGAAGAATTCGAAGAAGCGGATGTTAAAATGAAATTGAAACGTGAACGAAAATATTCTTATGAGGAAACAGATGAAAGCTTGGCTTTGAAATTAAAAGCTAAAAGACGACCATCTACTTACGAAGAAGGTTTGATAATAATCTACTTATATTATTTGCTTCTGCAGTTAACATTCTAATTTCCATATAATATACTTTCAATTTCATTATACATATATTTGTTATTTTTAGCATATTTCATTTCCAGTTAACAGCGAGTACATCATTCCTTCTTTAGGTATCCAAAATTTCATTCGATCCTTATACTAAAAACCTGCGATGAAAAGCATATCGGTTTGAAAAGTAAAAAAACAATAAGAACATTGCTATCATCATCATTATAATAATTAACAGTTGGTTAGCTACATTTAATATCAATTCATTAATCTTTTTAAATATTTCACATTAAATGTAAATTACAGAAGAAGCAACACTTAGCATCACCAGAGAAGAAGATATTTTCGAAGAAGGTAAATATAAGCATGTATTAATATTAACATACAGATAATTATTTCGTTTTTTTTTTTTTTTATAAAATATTATATAATTTTTATAGAAGTGGAATATGTTGTTCGTGATGGCGATACGATGTACTCAATTTGTTCATACGTAGCTGAAACAGATGAAGCAATTAATCTTGTTGAGGGTGAAAAAGTATATATAATCGGTAAATATTATATATTTATTATTGATTAATAAATAATAAAAGTCATACGCGCCTGTCATAAATTTGTTTATTTTCTTTTTTAGATCATACAAATCAAGACTGGTGGTTTGTAAAGAAAAACTTAACGGAAGAAAAAGGATGGGTGCCAGCGCAATATCTGTTAGATGAAGTACATTATACGTTATATTTACAACGTAAATTACATGAAAAGATCGACAAATTACCTGTATTTGAAAGTAAGTTTTATTATACAAACTGGGCCACAACAACCTGACAATTTTTAAATTACAATAGATAGATAATACTGATATGTAAACAAAAATTAAATTTATTGCGGGTTTGAATAACTTGACACTATTTAGTTAATAATGGAGCAATGGACCACAGTATACTGTGCGTTTATAGTAAAAATATTTTTTTAAAAATAGTAATTCTTAAAGATTATTTCGACATTTCGACATTCTTAAAGATTATTATAGTCGACATTTTAACATTCCTCGTCATAATGCCATTCTTAATGGAAACAGATCAAATTGTGAATAAAGAACTTTCGATCAACTGTTTCTGCAGCAAAAAAGAAACTACCAAGATCTCGTGCAAAGCGTGAGAACTCCATCTAACATGATAAGCCAATGAATAGGTTCAACGAGGAAACACGTTGCAGCCCTTAATTTATCTTGTAATAGCGTAGCAAGAATTTTGCATAAAAATTTTTAAGTTTTTATCTATATAAACATTAACAAATTCAAAGTCATTATGCAGGAAGAAATTATAGACAGAAGAAATATATCAGACAACATAATGCATAAAAAATACATATGATTTATAATATTTGTTTAGAACCAGCACCGGGAGAGAAGGCATCTGCCCCAAGATTTATTGAGAAATTACAACCAATTCATACACCAGATGGATATACAGTACAATTCGAATGTCAAGTAGAAGGTGTGCCAAGACCTCAAATAACTTGGTTCCGTCAAACAGCCATTATTAAACCATCACCAGACTTCCAAATTTATTATGATGATGATAATGTAGCGACTTTGATTATCAGAGAAGTGTTCCCTGAAGATGCAGGTACCTTTACTTGCGTTGCCAAGAATACTGCAGGATTTGCATCTAGCACAACGGAATTAGTAGTAGAAGCTCCTTTATCTGACCATGGATCAGATTTAACTGGACCATCCAGAAAAAGTTTGTCAAGGTATTAAGATTTATTAATAATTTTTAATAATAATGATAATAACTAACTAAATGAAATACTAATTGATTATCTCATTTTCTATATAGAGAATCTTCTCTGGTTGACATTCTCGAAGGAATTCCACCAACTTTCTCTCGAAAACCTAAAGCAAAATATGTTGATGAAGGTGATGATGTGATACTTGAAAGTCGTCTGGTAGCCGTACCAGAACCTGAAATCATATGGTATTATAAGGACACACAACTTACTACCAGGGAAAATATCATCATTACAAGCGAAAGTGATATGCACATGTATTGTAGTGTAGTTAAAATTTCCAAAGTTCAGAAGAAACAGGAAGGAAATTATAAAATTGTTGCTAAGAATAGAGAGGGTGAAGCTACCATCGAAATACCTTTAAAAGTAAGTAACAAGTTATTAAATCTTATAGCAATTAAAATGCTGGAATACATGAAACATCACTACACATATTGTAACTACAGGTGAAAACTAGCAATCAGGAACCACCAGAAATATTAGAACCATTACAATCGTATGTTGTACGAGAAGGAGAAACTGTTATGTTATCTACTCAAATTGTTGGTAATCCAGCACCAAAAGTAGTATGGTATAAAAATGGAAAGCCACTTAAAGATCTAACACCACAACAAGATGGTCATATAAACACATTGACTATAATCCAACCACAATTAGAAGATACGGGAGAATATTCTGTTGTAGCTACTAATAATTTTGGCAAAGCTGAAACTCAATCAACATTGGTGGTTGAAAGTAAGATAATACTTACTATTCATAAACTTTCTATGACTCTTTATGCTTCTTATTTTACAATTTTTAACAATCAAAATTTGTTAACCATTTGATTACACTGATGATGAGCACTTTGCACTAACACTACCAAATGCTTTACTAATATGTATTTCAGTGATTCCACATCTCAAGTCTTTCATGCTTATTAACATTGAACAGCAAAAAGAAGAGTTCTCTATCTTATCTTCTAAGGGTATGAAATGTATTTATTTCTGCTTATATTTTTATTCATCTTTTAATTCTGTTATTTAATAAGAAAGTATTAAAATTGTACCTAAAAGATTTGCACTATTTATAGAAATACCAAGTGGTGCTCCTGAGCCACCATTATTCACTGAAAGATTCCAAGAACTTACAGTACCTGAAAAGGGTACGTTCAAACTCGTTGCAAAAGTTACTGGAAATCCTATTCCAGAAATAACTTGGTTAAGGTAACTATATTGCTAATTTTATATTACTTTTCATTATCTTTCATATATAACATTGTGTATATATGTATATATATATATATATATACACATATAAATTTTACTACTTAACTTTTATCATAGAAATAATGAGCCATTAGAAAAATCACCAAACATAATAAGAAGCTACGACGGAGAAAACATTGTTCTTGAGATTAGAAATGCTGATTCAGAGACAGATGCTGGTGATTATAAATGTGTTGCTAGTAATTCGATTGGAAAGGCTTCACATGGAGCTAAAGTTACGGTGGACGTCGATAAAGTCACATTTACAAAGAAATTAAAAGAAAAAGTCACTGTTAACGAATATAAAATGTTGGAACTTATATGTGAAACCTCTCATACAGTATCCACTACGTGGTGGCATAATGAAAAAGAAATCAGTGGTATGGATCATCGTGAAATTATTCAGGAAGGGCGAGTACATAAGTTAGTCATCAAAAAGACAAATGCAATAGATGAAGGTACATACAAGTGTACTGTCAAAAATCAGACAACGTCTAGCACTGTTACTGTGAAACGTAAGTTTACTTAATTATATTATCATTATATTATATTTGCAATTGAATATTCATTGAATTGAATATCTTCAATCTAATTGAAACAATCCTTTCTTCCAGCTGCTAAACCTGAATTTACAAGGAAGTTACAAGACTTCGAGGTCAAGGAACGTGAAATAGCAATATTAGAAGTTGAAATAACATCTGAGACTGTAGATGTTGAATGGTATAAAGATGGAGTACCACTGAAACCAAGTACCAATGAAAAACTAGAATTTGTAAAAGAAGGCACCATAAGAAAATTACTTATCAGAAGTACATCAGTGCATGATGAAGGAGAATATACATGTACATTGCTTAATCAACAATGTACAGCTGAAGTTACTGTTGTTGGTACGTATTATTTGTATATTTCTTTAAAAAATTTGGTAATTATTATTTTATAAATACTCCTAAAGAGCAACTTATAACAAGACATTCTTCACTTGATATATTTCAGAATTACCACCAGAAATCATTACTAAGATGCATGATGTGACAATAGCTAGAGGAGAGAAAGCAATTTTCGACATTGAGTTAACCAAAGGTGATGCATTAGTGCGTTGGTTTAAGGATAATCAGGAATTACAGTTTTCTGAACATGTGCAACTTTCTATCGATGGCAAGAGGCAAAAATTGAAGATTTACGATTCAGAACCTGAAGATGCAGGTGTCTACTCTTGTCAAGTTGGAGAACAAACATCTTCAGCTAAATTAACTGTTGAAGAACCTGGTGTAGATTTTATCGCCAAATTACCAGATGTTACATTGGTACCAGTGAATGAAGACGCTTCCTTCTTAATCGAAATATCTCAATCAAATATTCCAGTCACATGGTTAAGGTATATATAACAAATATTTCCTTTTCATATATTATACATAAATTTTACATATATTGTAACTATAATAAAATCATATATAAATTGTATTTATAGAAAAGGAGAAATCATTAGAGAATCAGAAAAATATATTATTATTGATGAGGGTAATATAAAGAAACTCATTGTCAAGAAATGTACAACAGAAGATATTGCAGAATATACAGCTGTTGTAACGAACGTAAAAACATCATCAAGATTAAAAGTTGAAGTCATAGAAACACCTCCGAAAATTAATCCGGATACTCAGACAAAATATACAGTGAACAAAGATGATGACATTGAAATTATCGTCAAATTCACAGCGACACCAATGCCAACGGATGAATGGACTGTTGATGGTCGCATTGTTACAAAATCTAAGAGAATCACTCCTTCGATAGATGAGGAATCTGCTGTTTTAACTATTACGAAAGTGCAGGAAGAAGATATTGGTGATTACAACTTGAGACTCTTCAATCCACATGGTGATGCTTCTATAGTAATAACTGTTGCAATTGCACGTAAGTAAAAAGCTTTAATACAAATAATAATGGACTTTCATATTGCTATAAATTTGAGATTATCATGGATATTGATTATGTATATGTTATTAAAAATAACATTTTTTTATTCAGAACCACCTAGCAAGCCAGGTACACCAGAGCCTTTAGAATTAACAAATGAAAGCATTACACTGCATTGGAAAAAGCCAGAATCAGATGGAAACTTGCCAATCACAGAATACATATTAGAATACCACGAAAAGGCTGAAACTTCGTAAGTCTTAAAAGAAAAAAAAAAGAAAAAGAAAAAATAGATTATTCTGTATATTAATGTTTATATAATCCATAATTTTTTGTTTTAATTTTTACAAAAATATATTGCTTATTTTTAGATGGACCAAAGTCACAGAAAAAATCATTGAAACAAGTCATACGGTAACAAAATTAACAACTAATAAAGAATACACTTTCCGTGTAACAGCTATTAATAAAGTAGGTCTTAGTGAACCATCTTCAGAAATACAATATATAAAAATTTCAAAGCCATCAAGATTAGAGCCACCGATTATATTGGAGCCACTAAAAAGTATAAATGTAGGTTTAAAAGAAACTGTAACACTTTCTTGTATCATTGGAGGATCACCAACACCAGAAATCACATGGTATATAATTTCATTCATATTATATGTTACATAAAAATATTTATAATATATTTATACTTATTTATTATTTGAATTGTTCGATTAGGTTCAAGAATAATCAACTATTTGCTGATACTAATATAACTTATGAAAATCGTGTAGCAAAATATATAATCTTGGAAACAACAGAGACATCTTCAGCAACATTCACTGTAAAAGCAGAAAATGAAGCTGGCACAGCAGAAACCACATGTCAATTGAAAATACAAGAGTCACCAAAATTGATCGTTGATGAAACATTGATAAATCAGAAATTACCTGTAAGTTCTGAATGGAAAATTGATGTTCAAACCAGTGGTTTCCCCACACCGGATATAACATGGTCGAAGAATAGTCAAAAGATAATCGATAAGCGAGTATCAACTCATACTGTAGAGAAAATTTCAACTATTTCTATCAGCTCTATCATGAGAGAAGATACTGGTACTTACACAGCAGAAGCAATTAATGAAGCTGGTAGTTCTTCTATAGATATTCAGCTCAAGGTTATAGGTAAGTTAAAATGATAAATGACTTAAATCTCTTTCAAATCAATCATATTTTACATATACATAAAATTATTTCCTTTTCAGATAAACCAGATAAACCTCAAGGACCAATAATAACAAAAGAGATCCGGCAAGATCGTATTACAATTGAATGGAAAGCACCAATTGATGATGGTGGTCTTGAAATAGAAAAATATACTATTGAGAAATGTGAAACAGCTAAGATGAATTGGATAAAAGTAGCTGATGTTGATAAAAACATAGAAAGTTTCTGTGTACAAAAATTACAATTAGAAGTAGAATATATGTTCAGAGTAATTGCAAAGAATATTGTAGGCGCATCGGAACCCTTGGAATCTGAGCCAGTAAAGACAAGAATGTCTTATGGTACATATTCTTATTTTGTATTAAATAATACTTAATGTATATCTATATTATTATATTCAACTTTTCTATATTCTGTTTAATCATAATAGGTCCACCTGGACCACCGAGAGGGCCTTTAGAGACTTCTGGCATGACCAAAACATCTTTCACAATAAAATGGCAAGTTCCAGAAAATGATGGTGGCTCGCCAATTACAGATTATATCATTGAAATAACAGAGTCAACAAAGAAAGCATGGCAGAAGGTATATACATAAATTAAAGAATACCAAATATTTATCTCCAAAATATTGAATAAAATGAAAAATAATAATTGAATTATAGGTGGGCAACACAAAGGCTGATGTAACAAACATAAATGTATCAAATCTAAAAACCGATATGTCATACGATTTTAGAATAACAGCAAAAAATAAAATTGGAATGGGTGAACCATATATTTCAGAGGAACCAATTATAGTTGGAAAGCGAGCAAGTAAGTATAAATATGTACAAAATAAACGAATTAATAAAAAAGAATTTAAAAAATCATTGCTATGCTTATAAAAAAAAAATACTACTTATTATTATTTCTTAAAATTTTTCTATTTTAATGCTTATGCTTTTGCTTAGAAATAACAAAGCTTACAGATAGCAGCTTATATGCTTTACTAGGCATATTTCCACCATCAAAAATTGTTATTAGTAAAAGTAAGTAGAGATCGATTGTTCTAATATGTGCATAATAATATGCATGATATTAATAATTTTTTGAATACAATCCTATCTACAAATTTTAATGATAATTAGTAATAAAAAATAAGTTTACAGAACAATTCAATAAATATATATATTCTGTATTTTTAGCTCCACCATCTAGTCCGCTCAATGTTCGAGTAATAAACTTTACAAGTAAGAGTGTAACACTTACATGGTTTCCGCCAGCTAATAATGGAGGAACTGAACTTACAGGTAAAACTAATCGGTTAACTCTCTAATTTATTAAAAAATAATATTATATGCATATAATATATATTTCCAAATATCAAACAGGCTACATTATCGAAAAACGACCATTAATTGGTAAAGGTGCACGATGGATAAAGGTCGTTACTTTAGATGCTACCACTCACCAATATTGCATTGAAAATTTGAAGGAAAGTGAATTTTTATTCAGAGTATTTGCTGAAAATTGTATGGGTCTCAGTATACCTACGAATTCAGAGCCAGTTACTCTTAAGACTCATGCTAGTATGTATATCTATAATATTAATGATGATTATATAACTATACAATTAATTTAATGAGACAGATTTAAACATTATTCTAACTATATTTTTACTCCTATTAGCTGTACCATCAGCACCTACCGCCCCATTAGAAATCAGACAAATAGCTGCAAATACAGTGGTTATAGAATGGGGTAGACCAGAATCTGACGGTGGTGCACCTTTAGAAGGGTATAGAATTGTTATGAGGGATGCTAAAAAGACTATGTGGATTGAGGTAGGACGAGTCAAGGCTGATATACAAAAGATAAATATAAAAGACCTTCAAGAAAATCATGAGTATCTTGTGAGAATCTATGCTAGAAACGAGGTTGGTCTAAGTGAACCATTGGAATCAGATGAACCTTTCAAGATACTACCAACTTCAGGTATGACATACATGTATATACAGTATTTTAATATTTACTTTTCATAAATTCATATACGTAATCTTCTTTACTTAGAATTATCAGTGGTGGAGCCTATTGCAGAAGCCACAGACAAAGGTGAAACTGCGTCTGTGAGTTTTAGCACGGAAAATACAAGTTCCTGGCTCCGAGAGCATAACATGGATGCTGATATTCATTCTTACGCGAGAGGAAGACTTCTTAGAAGAGATGAATACTTTTTCCGCATTTGGCATTATGCTAAGAAACTATTCGAATAAGCATTTCTACAATTTCTAAACGGTTATCCTATTATTTCTACGAAGATTTATCGCTTGTCAAGAATGCATCTGATGCTTATTTTCTCATCAAATGCAACAAAAAAAAAAAAAAAAAAAAAAAAAAAAAAAAACTAATATGTCAAGGTTAGAAAAGAGAGGGGATATATATCTTTTTGGTCATAGAAATGAATGAAAAGAAAGAGATAAAAACGAAGGAGAATCTATGGGCTTTCTTAAGCTAACCAACAATGTCACTTATAGATCTTCCATAAAAGCATGATAGGTTAACTTTCTTTTCTTTGTTGTTTTGTGAATTAAAACAGGAGACTGGACGAATGTAGAAACTAGTCAGAATATAGAGATTATATCGTTATTTTCTAACGAAGTAAGATTTTTCGAAAGAAATGCAATTATCAGAATTTTGTAAATAATCTTTTTCCGAAAGATAGATTCGGTTGAACGAGAAAAAATCACATTCACAAATCTGGCAAGAAAGGAGAAAACGTTTATCAAAATGAGAAAAAAAGAAAAAGAACGAACTGCTCCCTACGAAATAATATTTTAAAAGGAGAATGACAACGTGATTAGACGATAACTCGGATTTCTTATAGAAAGATGTGATACATATGATACGATAGTCGAACGGTTGAATATCGAACTATCCTTTTTCCCTTTTCCCTTACCTTTCCTACTCAGTCCTCCCTCTATATCTCCGCCCAAGAATGTTGCAAGCGGTAGGCAATATTCAGTCACTTATTTAAAGTTTTTGGGAGGATTACTTTAAGTATTTATTATTAATCTATAATCTATATTTATAATATTATTTGTTATCATTGCCGATAGGTTTATTAAATAATTATTGATTATCGTCGATTATCGAATCGACATTTTGAAGGACTGATCGTAACAGTCGAATTAAACGAGACAAATGTCATGCCTCGTTGGTATCATCGTGAGACGTAATAAATATAGGTGCAAAACAATATCACTGATATACCAGCGACGTGTCGCATTGCTCGTAATTACATTGTAAAATATTTTACGAATTAAATTATGACAAATTATAAATATATCTCAATTCTTTTTTTTTTTTTTATTATTATCGATAATCCCAGTACCTTCCTTTTTGTTCGATTAATTAAGAATAAAAAAAATATTTATAGACATTATTTCGCAAATAGGAAAACTACTTCTTTTGCTACGTGAGATTTGAACAAAATTATATAAAATCAGTGAAACATCCAAAAGATATAAAATCATTACGTATTAAAGCATTTTGTAACAATCATTCTTTTTTTAAATAGATTATCAACGCGAATTAAGAAACATTTAAAATGTTATTGTAGAGTTAAAAATAGAATGATGAAGATCTCGATTTATCAATTGGCTCAAATTATCTCAGTGTATACAGAAATATTTAATGTATCTCACTCTTGTATTTCAAAAAAAAAAGAGGACAAAAAAAATTTATAAAATTGATTATACGTATTAATAAGAAAATTTATAATATTTTTAAGAAACATGCAATGAAATTTAAATCGGAAAATTTTTATAAAAACGATTGAAACCAGTCATTTTTTGTATTGATTGGTAATTCTAATGTTAAAGTTTTTACCTTCGAAATCTAAATCATACATACACATAATAAACTTATATTGTAGTCTCATAAAGTGGAAATGGAATAGTGCGCGAAGTATTGTGTACAGGCGGTTAAATATGAAACTGAATTATATAACTATTTTAGACATACATAAGAGTAGGATACACAGATGGCACAATTTTTTCATCTTTTAATAATACTATAATATAATCTAACAATAGAACAGAAAAATTGTTAAAAATTTTTAAGAATATATTAAATTAATCAATTTTTGATTGCTTTAACCTCCACATAGCGTGTGTTAGGACATGAGTTACCATTCCCACTTTATTTCATTTAAGGAATTGTCGCGCATACGCATAACGAACAAAGTTTTTTGCCAGCAGAGAAAATAATATCATTTATACCGTGATATTTTCAGCCTTTTCCCGATTTAATTGGTAATGTAGTCTTCTTATTACATATATGGAATCTCTATTGCAATAATCGAAATAAAATTATATCGATAATCAAAATCTCATTCGAGATACACCAAACAGAAGAATCGATAATACAAAATGGCTTCTTGTTAAAGAATGAACGTATGCGTATTATCAAGTGCAGTGATTCCATAATATTTTCATTATTTATAATTTATATAATATCAACATGGGGTAAGTGCGCTTTCTTTACGTTACATAGAATTTTCGTAAATTTTTCAAACAATTAATTTGTACAACATAGAATGATGAATATCAGCCATTCTGTTTACATCACTGTCGTGTGAGAAATGTTTGTTTTTAGATTTTTACGAATTAGCAATCATTACAAATTTCATATATTTAAATTACACATAACGATTATATAATATTTTTATTGTATGAAGAAATAATTTCGGAAGAAATTTTTCCTGAATATTTATTCGATAATAACCTAGAATTCATTGTTTGTAACCTTCATATCTTTCACACTTGTACAATTCGAAACTAATAAAGTTAAATTCCATTCATAGATATTTTAAATCTTATATTAATATCCATTGTATTTTAGCATATGCAACTTTTTATCGATAATGAATTTAATCGTAATATTGAAAATTCATTTTATATCAAAGCTTATAATATGTAAACAATATATTTTAGCTCATCAGATATAGAAGCCTTAGATTCAAAAAGAGAAATCGTTGGCATAGACTCAGAATCAGATATGCTTGGTGATCAAAGGAAAAAGAAGAAAAGAAAACACAAGCACCACAAACATAAAAAGGATAGAGTGATAGAGAAAGAAGATGGAAGAATAGATAGACAAGAAAGGTATTTAAAGCATAAATATGAATAGTTTGTTTTAATGGATATTAAAAGTAAAATATTGCATTAAATGAATTTATAGAAAAAAACACAAGAAACATAAAAGACCGCGTAAAGAGAAAGAAATTGAAAATGGTTCATTGGATGAGAAAGCATCATCTCGTATTAATCAGAAAGAAATTGGTCTTAATGGCAAGGTCAAAAATTCATTATTAGAAATAGTTTCTACAGAAGAAAGCGAAGATGAGAAATTAATAGATCTTGATTCTGATGAAGTAGATTGTACTATTATTGAAGATGATATTGATTTGGAAGAATTAATGAAACAGAAGGTATGTACACAACAATTTGAAATAGTTGAAATAATGGAGTTAAGTAAATCTTTCTTAAAAATATTACAATTTATTCATAGGAGCGATTACAAGCATGTTTAGTTCAATATTTGTCAGATGAGTCGGAAAAGGAAGATAAGGAACCGGAAGAGGAGGAAGAAGAAGAAGAAGAAGAAGAAGAAGAAGGAGGAGAGGAGGATGAAGAAACAAAAGCAGAAACTCCAGATGTAATACTCGTAGAAGACGATAGTGAAGATGACAATATACTCCATAAAAAACGACCTAGAAGTAAGTCAGGAAGTAGGGAACGTAAAAAAATATCGAAACCTGAAAGACGCGTTGTAGTTGATATGAGTAGAGATCGAAGAACCAGAGAGGACCACAAAGATAAGAGAAGAGATTCTGACAGAAGAAGAGAGGATAAGACCCGGCCAAGAGAAGAAATAAAAAGGGATGATGTGAGAAGGGATGAGAAACGAAAAACTAATGAAAGGCATAAGGAAGATTCGAGAAAAGAGGATTCTAGAAAAAGGATAGAAGAAGAGAAACGTAAAGATACTACTAGTAGTAGAAGGGATGAATCGCGCAAAAGAGAGCACGATCGAAGGTGAGCTATATCGTTTGATTAAACATTGTTGTTATTATTATTACTGTCATCGTTATTATTTTTATCGCAGGGAGGAAGAACGAGTAGACAGAAAACGAGATCTGAGTCGACACTTATCTAGATCTCATAACGATTCTAAGTGTCAAGATGCTAAAGTAGATATTAAACATATTTCATCGAGGCGTGATAGTCGTGATAGAGGAGACAATCGGGACCGTCAAAGTAGTCGAGATCGACAATCAAGCCGGGATCGACATACTAGTCGCGATCGTTATAATCGAGATAGACCACTAAGTAAAGATCGTCATTCCAGTCGTGATAAAAGAGATAGCAGAGAACGACATACTAGTCGAGATCGTCATGCCAACAGGGATAGGCAAGCCAGTCGTGATCGTATGGACACAAGGGATCGACGCGATAGTCGGAATCATGAGAAGATCAGAGAACGATCTAGAAGTACGAGAAGATCTCGTAGTCCCATTAGAAATAGAATGGACAGAGATCGCAACGATCGTTATAAAAGATCGCGTTCTTTATCTCGAAGTCGAAGGGGTAGGGAAAAACACATACGAGATCATGAAAGGGATAGAGAGAAGAATGGTAAAAAGGAAAGAAGTGATAAGTACAAAGACTCTTTGTCGGAAGGCCTAAAAGTCGAACGTTTTGACAGTTCTAGCGAAGAAGAGATCAAGGATATTGACATTGAGGAAGAGGAAGATGAGGAAGCTATTATTGAACGTAGAAGAAAACAGAGAGGAGAGTTACTCAAGGTATTATTTCATTATATTAATTTTTAAGTTTTATAAAACATTGTTTACTTATTTTGCGCAATATCTTATTTATTTATTTATTTTTTTTTTTTTTTTTTTTTTTTTTTTTTTTTTTCCCCTATTTAGCGATTAAGTGGACCATATGAAGATTCAAATATGTCTGCTGATGTAACAGCTGTCACTGGAACTCCTCCGTCTGAAAGTCATTCAAATACATCTCAAAAATCACCAGAGATACCTTCAAACAATAATGAATCCACTTCTGAAAGCCATACTCCGCCACTGCCTGAAAAACCAAAGTCACCACAGCCAGTTAAGAAAAGAAAGTCTAGATTTGAGGATGCATTACCTGAAGAATCTGAGAAGGTTGAAAATATACAAAATGCAGAGAAAGTTAAGCAAGATGAAAAACAAAGTACAAAGAAAACAAATGAATGGGATATGTTTGCTGAAGCGGATAATATCGGTGATTTTAATGTATGTATGCTTTATAGAAATATTTTATTTATTATATTATAATCACACTACAATTCTCTTTATTTTTAAACCTTTCTAGAGCCCTACCGTTGAAGGAAAACGTTTAGGTGGTCCTGACAATCCTAGTTTAACAGATAATTGGGATGATGCAGAAGGATATTATCGGTAAGACACTTATTACTTATAATATCGCGGGTTGAGAATCATAGTCTTGTAAGTACAAATTTTAAAACTTTGAGATAATACTAAATTTTCAAATCTGAACATTAAACCTACCATAGCGTTAAATGACCGGTTTCAAGCTTTTGATTAAATATTTTGCATTCGATGTTATCGACTTCGTCATTTAATTTTACAACTTTTTTTTTGTATAATTTTTCTCAGATAAATATATCTCATATCAAATAAGATATTGTAACAAGAGTAAAGTGACACAAATCTGTTTCAAATATAAGAAATATGTTTGTGGACAATGTGTAATGGAACGATCTATAATTTATAAAAAATGTGATGGACAAGAGAGGGATACTTATTACTTATTTTTACGCGAAAGAAACTATAGAACTCTTCTGTATTAATCATTTCTCTTCTTGTCTAAGTTGAAATAAAAGAAATAAATTTTGTTGTTGTTATTATTAATCTAAAAATTATTTTGTTTATTAACGTACTAAATTGACTATAAACTGCATCTAATCGAAAAAAATATAATTGTAGAAATAAGAAGAAATGTAGAAAACAGTATAAATATATATATATATATATATATGGAATTTTTTAAAACACTATTTTATATGCAACTCACACCACTATGATTTTCAATCTGTCACATATCAATTTCTTATGTTAATATTAATTATGTTTAAATTAAACGAATAACATAATATCAATTTTAGCGTTCGGGTTGGTGAGACTTTAGATTCGCGATATGTTGTTTATGGTTATACAGGACAAGGAGTTTTTAGCAATGTCGTAAGGGCTAGAGACAGTGCTCGAGGCAATTTAGATGTTGCGGTGAAAATAATCCGGAATAATGAAATTATGTAAGAAATTTATTTACTTTGTAATATACATAAATTTTATATAATCATAAAGACAACTTTGTCAGACTATTTTTATGGTTTTTACAGGCATCGTACTGGTCTCAAAGAATTAGAAATACTTCGAAAACTTAACGATGCAGATCCAGAGGACCGATTTCATTGTTTGAGATTATTTCGACATTTTTTTCATAAAAATCATCTATGTATGGTTTTTGAACCATTAGCTATGAATTTAAGAGAGGTATGTATATGAAAAAAATACTGTACAAGTATAATTATTGTATGTAGATAATTTGTATATGCGTGTGTGTACATATATGTGTATATATATTCTTTTTTCTTTTTTATTACTACATAGGTATTGAAAAAATATGGTAAAGATGTGGGTCTGCATGTTAAAGCAGTCAGGTCGTATACACAACAGCTTTTCCTTGCATTAAAATTATTAAAACGAGCAAATATTTTACACGCTGACATTAAACCAGATAATATTCTAGTCAGTGAAAGTAAACTGGTATTGAAACTTTGTGATTTTGGTTCTGCCTCTCATGCTCATGAAAATGAGATAACACCGTATCTTGTATCAAGATTTTATCGTGCTCCTGAAATTAGTAAGTATATTAGTTGATTATTTTTTATTTTTATATGAATGAAAATAAATTATAAAAGTCAGTGTACGAATAAAATTATCTGGATAGACAGGTAACCTTATAATGCGTGATCATCTTAAGACAGAGTGACAATGGAGAAAATATTGTTATAATTTGTGAGAGAAGGTAGATTATTATAGTGTCATATAGTTATTTTCTTTTTTATTTAAATTTCTAACTTTCCAAATAATGAAATAAGAATAAAACTTTGATACAGTAATATTAGAAAAAAAAAAAAAAAGAACATCAAAATTATAGTTCGCTCAAAGAATCGAGTCAGTAGAGGCAAACAACCATAGCTAATTGGGACAGGAGTATATTTACAAATCCTTTTTAAATACCGTAACACTTTTCGGATAGAAAATTGAAGCAAACCTAACAATGACCTATTATATGTAAGTAAATTTACTCCTGAATTTAATAATTAATTATCATCCACCGGCTAATAACTGAAATCACTTGCATCTATCATGTATTTAGCACGCGAATATTTTGTGTACTTTTACTGACTCGGTTTGTTGCACAGTGTTTCACTCAATGCACCAAAATCAAAGATTTCAAATGTAAAATCTGAAAAAAATCTTAGATCGTAAAATATTAGTAACGTAATATAATAACTTTTACAGAATATATTAATCTATTTGTTAAAATTGAAGAGTGAAGTTTAATGTAAAAAGAAAGGGCCATTTTTTTTCATATTTGAGACAGTAATATTTGTCTCTTTAGTTTGATTTTTATAAATTGTTAAAATTTTAATATTGTAGTATTCCTTTAAAATTTCATGAGTAATTTTAATAGAATAATAACAAATTTTCTTAATTTTTTATATAGAATTTCTATAAGTTTTGAGGTGACTTTTAAAAAAAATATCTCCATGAATTTTTGTATAGTAATTTTGAATACATTGAACTTTACATTAATGTCAAATTTCTTTATTCAAGATAAAAAAGATAATCGAAATCTTTATTGACATGTTCGCTCTTGAGGACCCACTATGACCGTCGTATAGTGGTCTTAGATCAAGGATTTTAATTATACATTTTAAGAATTTAAAATGAAGTTTCTTAATTAATCTCAAAATTTGTTAAATATATTTATGATAAATCCATATTAAAATACAGGACAAAAAACATTAAATTTAACAAAGAAGACTATAAACATATATGAACTTAGTTTAGTATAAGATCATTGTCAGACAAATACAGACACATGTTTTGAATTCGATTAAATATAACAAATAAATATAATGCTTTCCATGTTTTGCGAATTAAGTAATATTTAAGTAACTATAAAAAAAAAGGGGGGGGGGGCGAAGAAAAAAAAACAAAGAACTTGGTACAAAGTTATGATTGTTGTCCCAAACGGCCATATATATGTGCGAAACACTGTGCGTTAAACGGACTATAGATCTTTATATTAGAAAAATGTTTGGTGCTATAGAATTTTTGTTATGTATCAGAAATAATATTGATTTTTTTTAGTTCTTGGTATACCATATGATTTTGGCATTGACATGTGGTCTGTTGGATGCACAATATATGAATTATACACTGGAAAAATAATGTTTTCGGGAAAAACAAACAATCAGATGTTAAAGTTTTTCATGGATCTAAAGGGCAAGATGCCTAATAAACTAATAAGGAAAGGAACCTTCAAGGATCAACATTTTGACTCTAACTGCAATTTTCTTTATCATGAAGTTGATAAAGTTACTGAGCGGGTAAGTCGCTGTACAATTTTTCTCTACGATTACGTTTACGTTTTCTCATGTGGTAAGCTCTATTTTTATTCGTAAAATAATATTTTTCTAATCTGCATCTGCACAAAGTAGCTCCCAAAGAAGTTTCTTCCATTATGTCTTGTAGTGTTTCTACAATATATGAGATAATTCAACGTATTTACTTTTAGGAAAAAATCGTCGTAATGTCCACTCTTCCGGCAACTCGTGATCTTAATGCAGAACTTGGTGGGAATTCATTACCACCCGAACAAAGTCGGAAAGTTGGTCAGCTGAAAGATCTGCTAGAACGCACGTTGATGTTGGATGCAGGGAAAAGAATCACTGTGAACCATGCTCTGGCACACCCTTTTATACAAGAAAAAATTTAGGTAACCCTGCCTAGGGTCCTTGTACAACAGAAAAATTATTAACGTAAATTTGTGAATTTGAAATGAGACACCGCTAACGATAATCCGCATTCACCGAATATTATCAAATATTAAATACGGATATTGCTAGCCAAAATGGTGTCTGTCTTACATGAACTGTCTGTATTGGTTTTAGCAGAAAGAGGCGGCGCATAGTTTCAAGTGTAACTCAATCAAGACAACGAAGAGCAAAAAGCAGTAAATATTTATAATGCATGTATCATCGTATTGCAACGTTGTACTCTATCAATCTGAAATAACGTATTAATTAGGTTGTTAAGAACTATTACAGGTCAATAGAGTGCAATATTTTTTATAAGACATAATCAATTTTCGTAAGGAAGTAAATTACTTCCTAATATCTGTTGTATAAGCAATTTTAGCGGGAACATAGAATTTTACTATTTAAACGTATTCACAGAATTTCATAACGTATTACTTAAATACGTAATTAGGTTATATGCCTTTTTATTTTTGTCTTCAAGTAATAATCATTGTGAATTGAAAAGTAATGAGCTCACGTTAAAAAGAAAAAGAAAAAAAAATGATATATTCTTATCAATCTTATAAATACTTGGTACCTAAAAGTAACGTTGTTCTTAGGTGAATGAGTCAGACTGGAAAAAGTGACCGCCTCTTTCAGCATGAACTGGCCATCGATACTTAGCATTATGGTGGTATGTGGTAATTTTCTTTTTTTTCACTTTTTCGATTTAAAGCGCGACTTCCTTACGGATAGTATCTCTTATAAATTATTATAAAATACATTAACATTAAATATTTAGTACTGAATATTTGTTATTTCATAACAAGAGATTGTAAGACTCCAAAATTTTATCACACAGTTCAGGAACGGTCTTTTTTGTTCTTTTACGTCAGCGATGCACAAAAATGGCATTCGCTATTAGAAACTTAGCGACAAAGAAACTTTGTGTATAATCTGAAGAGAAAAAAAATTGTATAATAAGTAGGTCAACTATTGAAATAAAAATACAAATGCTTAACAGAAAGTGGAGAGAGCCCTGCATTTTATATTTTCAGTCACTATCACGTACGAGTTTATTGCGTTTCAAGCGTTAGCTACAAATGATTTACGTGTGTCCTATCGTATTAATGAACTATAAGCATACAAATTTTATTTTAACGGAACGACGTAACAGATTTATCATATTATGTTAGTCGATCTTTAATAACTCGCATAAGATAAATGTAGATGAATATATGATTGTAAACGATATCGCATGCATATAAGACGCGAATCGAAAAAATATTTTTCATTTGAGCTCAGTAAACAGTTATAAAAGTTAATCAACACACACTCACACACACACACACACACACATATATATATATATATATATATATATATATATATAAAAATATATATATATATATTTCATACTGTAGGATACTTTAGAAACATAATTATATCACAGGATATACACATCTCTGTATAATAACATTATAGTTCTAAGAATTAAAATTCTTTAGCCAATACTTTATTTAAAGTTATTACTTAATGTAAAATAGGGCAGACTTTCAGTGCTGTTTAAATGGTTCATGGAATAATTTTTAATAAGAGAAAACTGTACGAGGCTGCTTATGTTTCAGATGAATCTTCAATTCGAATCATCTTTATGTGCAAGCGGACCTTTCAAGGGCCTTTAGTGCTGATCCCGTTGCAAGGTATTCATAGGGGACTGCCTTATGGGATATTTAGTATATCCGATTCTTGTAACATATCGTATATAGTTTATTGACAATTATAAACAGTGTTGTGTGTACTTTACACAAAGAGTTTTCTTCATAATTTTTCTAACGACGATAAACATTATCATAATAATAATAATAATAATAATAATAATAATAATGATAATGATAATAATAATATTAATAACAATAATAATAAAAATAATAATAATGATAATATTAATAACAATAATAAAAGCCATCGCGTATTAAATGTAATCAAAAACATGAAATTTGTGTATGAGGAGGACGAGTAGAAATTTTAAGCACATTTCAATATACATATATACAGAAATAAAAGAATATATTCAATATCAACTTTAGCATATGCTTTTCTAATTGACAATTTGGTGATGTTTCACTTATAGCCCTCCCTGTGAGGAGGGGAGGCAACGGAAGAGATCAGATGCTGAGAAGGAATGATGAAAGGTGTCCCAAAGGAATGGTAAAAACAACGCATAGATACTCTCTGCTCCGTCTCATCAAACCTGCTTAAACAAGATATCATCGTCGAGTCATCAAAGAATGGATCATCAAAGATTGAACTAATTATGAGCCAATACAAGGTTTGTCTTAAAGACTTATCAAGAAGAGCAAAACTGTAAGTATGTATGCAGGTAAAGTATATATCGTAAAAATGTTAAAAATAAAAAATTATAAAGATATAGCGTTTTTACAATTCATTATTTTTATAATATGATAAGCAATAATTAAGATTTTAATATATATTCTAATCATTATGGCTTTGAGTTTTCAGATAATTAATTAAAAATCTCAAAAGAGTATAACAACACATATAATACTGAAGAAACATACAATGAAAGATATTATGTGTTAATATACGTATATACTTTTAATAAAACTTATACAATAAATATATTAGTATAATACAATCACAGCGAGATGTGGAAATTTTGATATAATGAAATATTATCTATTAATTTTGTGTAAGAAATGTAATAACGCAAAAATATAGTTTATATATTATACGATTTAAAAATTGTTCTTTCATTATCTTAATATCGTCATAGATAAGTAATCACGAAGAACCAACCGACAAAATAAAGTAAAGGAAGAAAACGGAGCTTGGCATATAATATTTAGAACAATCTTTCTTTATTTTCATTTCTATCAATGCCGCATTATAAAACATAATTTGTAAGAGATATGTATAGTATATATATACTATACAACACACACACACACACACACACACATACGATTGGAGTCTTTGGTATAAGTACAACCGAACAAGTAAATACAAGACGAAAAGAATGATCACTATGTTATACGAATTTTCAATCTCGTTCCGGATAATACTGTACAAGTTGTTTACACAATTCTTGAGCTAATTCCATGGATGATGCACATAATACTCTTCTGCTCATGACATCAAATGGTCCTCCTGATGGAAAAATATTTATGTAGAGAATTCTCGTAGGCATGATGTTTAAGAAAATTATTAAACAATCATACACCTGCTGGATCTATACAAACGCCTCCTGCTTCTCTGACGATAAGATCACCAGCCGCAATGTCCCAAGCATGAATTCCATATTCAAAGCAAACATCGGCACCACCAAGTGCCACCATACACATATTCAAAGCCGCCGATCCTAACGCTCTCATTCTAAAGAAAAAATTCGTCAATTAATTGTTTAAATACTATTAAATGTTTCTCAAGAGGGAAATGTTCTTTTTCATTTTACCCGTGGATCTGTGGTATCAAAATATTAATATTTTGAAAGACGACTTTCATTTTCTTAGGATCTCTACTTGTACCCATCTCTACCATGATCAAGGCTTTGCGTAACTCTAAAAAATTGTAACGTCTTTAATGAGTCCAAATAAAAGAAAGGTATGAAAAATTCTAATGATGATTTTACTAAATATATGCAAGCTATGTTGTACACCATGAGAACTTTTTTATGACATCTTTTTTAGATTTAATCATAAATAGATCACCTTTCTGGCCAGAAACTCGTATCGGGGCACCATTCAAAAAAGCACCTTTGCCTCTGCGAGCTGTGAATAACTGTTCTAAAATAGGATTATAAACAACACCAATTTCTGCAACCTTTCCTATATGCAAACCAACCGATATGCATGTGTGCGGTAAACCATGAACGAAATTCATAGTTCCGTCAATCGGATCTATGATCCATGTTGGCGCGTCCGTTAATTCTGCTTTTTTACCCAAAGACGTAGATTCCTCGCCAATGAATCTGAAAACAAGTATACGTATATGCATTTTAACTTAACATTTAAATGAACAAATATTGTTTAACGAGATTGTTCGTAAAAAATCATCGTAGAGTTTATAACGGAAAACTCTATCAATTACCATAAATGAATTTTTATTGAAATCGTAAGTTCCCCTTTGATTTAATTGATCGTTAAATCTATTTATCATTTTAAGGAGGAGAAATGCATGTCAATGGGCATTAAAAAAAGATCAGCTGAATCACGATTAACGTGAGATCATTTTAAAGAAGAAAAACAAGTTGATCAAAATGAAATCGATAAAACATACTTGAATTTATTTCAAAAAGGATTATAAACAATGTCTTAAATATCGTACGTACTTGTGATCTGGAAACTTTGAAGATATGCCATCCATGAGAAGTTTCTCGACCTTTTGATCCCACTCAGTAACGAGATCCACATCGCATGATTTTGTCATTGCATCTTTGCACTGATATATCTTTTCTCTCACGATCTAAGGTATATGATTTCATTTACATTTCTTTTTTATTTATATTTTTTTCTTTTTTCCATGAACTTTCGACAATTTTTATCTGTCAAATCTTATTACGATTTAACGATAATATTTTGCAAAATTAATAAAAAGAAAAAAAGGATTAAAAAATAATTTATTTTGACCATGAACAAATCTTCCTTCGGAGAAGCTAAACAAGTGTTCTATATAGCTAAGTCGCTAAAATTAAATTGAAGGCTATCTATCGATTGGATAATAAACAGATAATAATCGTCACTTAGATATTCCATTCATGAGAGATTTTTAAATGATCAAGTTAAGATCTGTGTATACATTGGATCTTGAGTAACCAAGATAATTGAATTTTTAATTAAGGATATCTTTTAACTGGTTTTAATTTCTTACCGAACCGGCTTCTTTAACCAGTCGAAGAATTTCCACATAATATTCCTCGATGTCAGACATTTTAATAAATCGATAGAGCAAATAAGAATCTCGAAATATTCCTGATAGAATCGCTTTGACACTTTTGTTAGTTTGTCATCCTATTAAGAACATGAAGGAACAAAAAAAGTCCTCCAACAACCACTACGAGTAATAGCAATCAACTGACGTAATTTTCGTCAGCTGTTGCCGAAGAACGATCGTCATTTTGTTGTTTTACCCACTCCTGAAGTCGCATCTATAGCGACTGTGGCGCCAATGATATTCCAATAATCGCACTTGCGCGATTGACCCGATGTTATAAACGATTTTTTGTTTGTTGTGATACATATTCATCGACTAAATACATATTTATATGTTTAAAATATTCTTTAACGCAATGACACAATTTCTATTACGTAGTATATAGTATCTCATGAAAGTTTAACTAATGATAAGAGAGGGAATGTATCAAAAGATTAACGAAGAAAACGCTGTTTGTTTAACAGAACAATATTATTATCACTTTTAACACATATACATATACATAGCTTTGCAATTTTTAATATAGTCTATATATATATATATATATTCTATATACATATAGAATAATATATATTCTTTTTTGTTTCTTCTTTTATGTATATATATGTTTATATACGTGTACGTATTGCCACGGCCGAAGTGTAATACGTGAAATTTTAAGGAAGTAATTTATTAAATTATTAACTAAAGTAACACTTCAGACTTTCTAAACATATTTTCTTTCGAAAAGGAGATACTCATTCTCTCTCTCTCTCTCTCTCTCTCTCTCTCTCTCTCTCTCTCTCTCTCTCCTTTTATGTTCTCTCTTCGATCATTACGATATATACATTAGTACATGTATTTTAATTATTACATCTAAAGTTGATTTTGTTCCGCAAAAAATGATATGTATCGGACACGCCTCGAAGGAACACGAGGCATTATTATTTTTCTTTAGCCTAAGATCGCTTTCACTTTGTTTTCTAACGTACATAAATACAGGCATCACGTATCACGGACGCTTTTATTACGATAAACATTTGAATAGTTTTTCTTTCTTAATTTGCGATAGCGCGCATATATTCGTACAAGTGTGTATATGTAAATGTGCATATATATATATATACACATACATACATATATACAAAATATTCCTCGTAACGGTAACTATGATTAACAATAATCTGATAAAAAAAACAAAAATAGAAATTTGATAGCTTCTAACTGCCAATAAATTACAATAACAATAATTGACTAAATGTAAATATTAATGCTTGGTGTTACAAAAAATATTTTAATTGATTATTTAATTGTTCCGTATGTTTACGAGGACAATCTAACACGTTCTACGGATGTAAAACATTGCAATATAATTGATGCTACATATAATAATTTATAAAAAGAGTTGCGGAGTTGAAATATAATCTGAATATCTACTTTAGCTAGTATATTGTTACGTTTACTTATTATTTAAGATTCTAATTAATTCATTCAATAACGGAGAATTATGTATCATTAAATTTAAAATTGTTTATTTTGAATAGTAATGTAAACTTAAAACGACATCGTGTGTATTCATTGAATTTGTTTTACTGTATTATATTTTATTATAAAAAAAAAAAAGGAGAAATATAATGGTTCCATTCCAAAAAGTCAAGATTATCTTGTTTTTTTTTACCGAAAAAGAAATATTTGGCAATTATTACTATTATTATAATTTATTACCGATTAAAAACTAATAAATTTTTATTCTTTCTTATTATGACTTTTGTTTGTTGGTAAATTATTGTAAGAGGCTTAAAAATTATGGTTATCATTACGAGGTCTATATATTATATATATACACATATATTATATATATACTTATATTATATATATATATATATATATATATACACATATATATAAATAATTTGTTTTCTTTCTATTTGCGTTCTTCATAAAAGTAATAAGCGTCGAATGAATTATCGATCGATTACTATATCTCATCGTTGTACATTTCCGTTCTTTCAATCGAGTAGATTGGCATTCTATCGATTCAATATAATCGCTGGCTCGCTATAAAATTTTCTTCATTTATTTCCTTTCTCAATCGTAAAGCACAAAAGAGAAGCGGATCAACTTTATTGATACTTCGATAAATTCTGTTAAAACGACGTTTAAATACTTTTTTACGACATTTTATATATGTTATTGTTGTCATTGTTTCTTTTTTCTCTAGTGTATTTTTATTGCTGAAGAAAGAATCATATCTATGACAACCGTATTTCTATTTGGTTTCAATAAGTAATAAAAAGTTGAACTTTCAACGGACTGCTTTATTAAATGTGCGAAAGAAGACTTTTTTTTTAAAGAACACAACATTTTAATATAAGATGTGAAAAGAATACTACGTGGAGATTCTTTTAAATCTTCTTAATAAATTAGAATATTAATAACGAAAATCAATGATAATAACGACAATGATGATAATAATAATAATAATAACGATGTTCGATAAAAATATCTATATACTTAGGATATAATAATAATAGTAGAAAAAATGCCATCCGACAATAACAATGATCGTCTTTACTTTTTTTTTAAATAAAAGAGAGAACAAAATATTATTTTTTGAGAATAAATTCCCATCATCAAGATAGTACAATATATATATATATATCTATACCTGAAGTCCGATAATAATAATAATAATAACAATAATAATAATAACAATAATAATATAATACAATAATAATAGTTCAACTATTAGTAACAAAAAAAAAGGATAAACGAAGAATTGTAAAAATGTTCTATAAGCTTCAACAATATTTGTTGTATAAGCTTTCATAAATATTTTTAGTAAGCTTTATTTGTTTGTCTGCTGTTTTTCAATCGTGGCAACGAATATATAATTAATATATATATATATATATATATATATATATATATATATATATATATATTATATAGTCTTTGTTGCCACGATTAAAAAACAACAGACAAAAAAGCTTACTAAAGACTATATAATATATCATATATATACACACACATATTATATATATATATATTCGTTGCCACGACTGAAAAACAGCAGATAAACAGAAAAGCTTATTATATATATATATAATAATAATAATTATATATATATATATATAATTTTTGGTTCGTTTAGACTTGTGGTCTAAGTTGGAAAAGAAGATCAACGATGGTCTCGTCGGCGAGAGTTGATATGTCACCGACGTTTCTGTCACCAGCCGCGATCTTCCTTAATATACGCCTCATAATTTTACCTGATCTCGTTTTTGGCAAGCCAGGTGCATGTTGAATAACATCCGGTTGGGCGAAAGGTCCAATCTTTTCTCGCACTGTTTAAAGAATGTGCGTTCTATCATTACTTACACATGTAAATATGGTATGAAAAAAATCAAATGATAAATTAAATGTATATACATAGTAAATAATATGGAGAATAATTTTTATGGTTTTAATGATGGAAAAAGGAAAAAAGAAATGAAAGAGAAGAAAAAGGAAGACAATAAGAATATTACGAGGAACTCACCTCTTTGCTTAATTTCATCCTGCAATTTCTTTTCAAATTTGATACCTTCATTAGGTGTAATAAAACAATAAAGACATTGACCTTTCACAGGATGATTTTTGCTAACTACGGCGGCTTCGGCAATCGACGAATGACTTGTTAAAACACTTTCTACTTCTGCCGTAGACATGAGATGCCCAGAAACATTCAACATGTCATCTATACGGCCAATTACCCATAGATAACCGTCTGCGTCTCGTCTGGCACCTATAAGAAAAAATCAAAATACTCAATAGAATTCGAATTACTACTAAAAACTTCGCGTTTTCTAAGCAATTAGAACAAACTCATTTTGACAGTCAATTGTTAACGGAACCTGCCATTCGATCCAACGCGTTTTCTCTTTAAATTACAAGAAAAAAAAAAAATGTTTTTAATTGATAACATGTGATCATTCCAAAAAATTCAAATTTCATTCAAATCAATTACGAAAATTGTCAAAAGTGTCTGATGCACTGTGCTCGTACCATAACGATCGATCATTATTTAAAGACGTTCGAAGGTTAAGAATAAACATAAGATGCCGATTCAGAAGGTGAAGGCTCGTCAGATATTCGACTCAAGAGGAGATCCTACTTTAGAGGTCGATCTGATTACGGACATTGGTCTGTTCAGATCGTCTGTACCTAGTACATTGGTAATAAATCCCAACCAAGCACAAGAAATCAGAGATGGAAATGAGGCTGCTTATCATGGTCGCTCGGTCTTTAAGGCCGTCGATATAATCAACAACGTGATAGCACCGCAATTATTAAAATCGAAATTAGAAGTTTGTCAACAAATGGAGATTGATAGTTTTTTAAACAGATTAGATGGTACTGAGAATAAATCAAAATTGGGTTCTAATTCAATCTTGGGAGTCTCTTTGTCATGCTGCAAAGCTGGTGCAGCAAAGAAAGGTCTTCCGATTTATAGGTAAGAATTTTTCTTATCAATATTTGATTTTATATAATCAAAATGATTTTATAGGTACATCGCTGAATTAGCAGAGAATAGTGATCTGTATTTGCCAGTACCATGTTTCAACATGATCAGTGGTGGTAGACTCGCCGGTAATAGTATACCATGTGAAAAATTTATGATACTACCGATAGGAGCTGAAAGTTTTGTCGACGCTATGAAGATGGCTAACGAGGTCTATCGCGTTTTGGAGAGGAAAATTGCTGAGAGCCAAGAAGTACAATTACCACTTTCCGTTTGCGACGATGGTGCTTTCGCGCCACTTCTCGAAGACGACAAGGATGCTTTGACTCTTATAGACGAATCGATAAAGGATGCTGGATACGAAGGAAAGATAAAGATCGCATTAGATATGGCGGCTAGTGCATTTTATAAAGAAGGTTAATTTCGATGAACGTATTTACTTTAAATTTATTTCTATAATTTTCTTTATTCTTTTATTTCATTCTCTTCGTAGGAGGTTACGATTTAGCCTTCAAAACTGAAGAATCTGATCCCGAAGATTATATGGAAGCCGAAGCATTGAAGGAACAATATGTAGATTATCTTACCGAGTATCCATCGATTGTCTCGATCGAAGATCCCTTCGATCAGGAAGATTGGGAGGGCTGGTTGACTTTAGCCGATCAAGAAATCCAAGTGGTCTCGGACGATTTAACAGCCATGAATATAGAAAGAATCGAGGAAGCGGTAGAACGACAGATGGCTAATTGTCTTGTTCTAAGAATGTCACAAATCGGTACAGTCACCGAGGTAATCAATTGTGCCAGAATGGCAAGAATCAATGGTTGGGGATATGTCATCGCGGCTGGACAATGCGAAACGGAGGACAATTTTGTAGCTGATCTAGCCGTAGGCTTGTCCGCTGGTCAATTTAAGGGAGGAGCACCGTGTAGAAGCGAAAGAACAGCCAAATACAATCAGATCATTAGAATCGAGGAAGAACTTGGAAAGGATGGAAAATACGCCGGGTTCAATTTCAGAAATCCCCTCGCCAAATAACCGTTTGATAATATTGATTGATATTAATTTTGCAATAACCGATCGTATTGACTTACCATCGCCCGTGCAATAATATCCGTGAAATCTATCGAAGTAGGTGCTTTGAAAACGTTGATGATTCTCAAAGAGACTTCTCATCATGCCTGGCCAAGGTTGTCGAAAAACGAGATATCCTTCTCCTTCGCCCTCAATTACATGACCATCTTCATCCAATAATTCCGGTAGTACTCCAAAGAAGGGAAAGGTCTGTCACGAACGCGATTGTGCAATTTTAAAAATGATCTCTGTCTATTTTTCAATTTAGCATTTTCAAGTATTTTAATTAAAATCAATGAACATTCTCAAGCGTACCGCTGATCCTGGCTTCATTGGGGTCGCACCTGGTAATGGTGTGACGACGTGACCACCAGTTTCCGTTTGCCAAAATGTATCGACGATACTACACTTGCCATGACCAATCAAGTTGTATAACCACAACCAAGCTTCGGAATTAATCGGCTCGCCGACCGAGCCGAGAACCTGCAAAAAAGTTCACTTTTATCTCTCTCGCAACTGGATTAGATATTTTAAACTTTATCAATGTTATCTAATACGTCAGGATTAAAAACATTGATACATGTTGATACCATTAAGTGTATCAGAAAATGTTAGATCATATAGGTATATTATAGTTTCCTTATACTATAGGTATACTATAGTTACCTTCAAACTGGACAAATTATGCTTCTTTACGAACTCGTCCCCAAATTTTATGAGCGATCTGATCGCGGTTGGAGACGTATAAAATTGAGTGACCTTGTACTTGTCTACGATCACCCAGTATCGATCGTTTTCAGGATAGAACGGTGTACCTTCGAACTGTTCGTTAAACGTTACAACTTAAATAAGATTCTTAATCGCTTGAAACGTTAAGAGTTTTATGCTTTTACTCACTAGGACCGAGGTCGCACTATTAGCCAGTGGGCCATAAACGACGTAAGTGTGACCAGTAATCCAACCGATATCTGCGGTACACCAATAGATATCTCCAGGATGATAATCAAAGACATATTTGAACGTTGTTGCCGCGTAAATCATGTAACCTGCTATTGTATGAAGGACTCCTTTTGGTTTACCAGTAGAACCGCTATCATAATGATCATAAACGTTAAATGAGTTATCTTCATCGGTATGATCCGATAATAAAAGTAAACATTTATTTACTACCTGGTATAAAGAATGAAAAGTGGATCTTCCGCGTCCATCCACACTGGCTCGCATTTACTTTCCACTTTCTCCATTTCTACGTGCCAACAACAGTCACGTTCGGAATTCCAGGATCCAGCTTTCAATTAAACGAAAAATTCATTTCTTCGTTATTTTTTTTTGTTTTTGTTTTTAGCAATCGATAAATAAATATATATTCATTCGAAAGAAAATGAAAGAATTACTGCTTACTGCCATTTTCGTCCAAACTAGGACGTTTGTTGGTCAATCTGGTCGAATGAGAAACTACTATGCATGTCTCGACATTGTGACCATGCGATGCAACTTTTTCCATAGCACTGTCGCAAATATATTTAGGAAACAATAATTTTTCTCCCCTCTTGGCTAGATTAACAGTTATGAGAATCTTCGCTTTGGCATCTAATATACGTTCTGCCAAGGCATCGGACGAGTATCCTGCGAACTAATTATCTTAATGAGTTCGTTCAATGGAAAACTTAAGGAGACTTGAGACAATTCGGATAAATTCCTATTATTTATTTAAGAGTTCGATCGAGTTACTCACGACTACGCAGTGAATCGCACCGATTCTTGTGCAAGCCAACATCGCGATAGGAAGCTCGAGAATCATTGGCATATAAATGACCACTCTATCTCCTTTTGTCACTCCCTTCGACCTCAGAACGTTTGCAAATTTGCATACCTTTGCTAGCAACTTTCTATAGGATATTTTCGAATGGTCGTTCGGATCGTTACCTTCCCTGCGATAATATATCATATAAGTAAAAAAAAAAAAAAAAAAAAAAAAAGAAATAAAATGCAAAAATACCAAAAAAACAGAAGAAGAAAAATAAATAAATAATTATTAATTTATTATTAATCTAATCAATATTTTCATTAATATTTATCGATAGTTCTGCTCTAATGGATTCAGTTTCGTCATATTGATGTAATAAAGTCAAAGATCAAGTTGACTCATTATAAACATATTGAAAAATCGGCTTAGTAATAGGAACGTACGAACTTTATTTTTCACTGTAAAACTTTAACGGTAAACATTATTTCTATCTATCGAACATATATAAATTTATGTCATTTGGTCATTTTTACTTATTCATCGTCGAAGTAGTTCGTTCGATTGTTGTAATACATCGACTTTTATTTTCGACGACGTCACAGATTACGCAAGCATGTAAGTAGTATTATCAAAATAATATATATTCTGACTAAAGACTGAATGAAAAGAAAACAACGAATTTGACGTTGACCATGGTCGATCAAAGATTTGAGAAAATCTTAAATGACAAATTATTATCTAACAATACCTTTAAATTGATATACATTTGAGAAGATTAGGAATGTTAAACCGTAATATTATCATTCGTAATTGTTAATTTGATAAGATCACAAACTATCAAACTTCATGAATTTGAATTGCAATTATCTATTGATATATCATATAAGATATATTAGGTAAATTTCTCTATTTTTTGTTAGAGAACGTTATTATCTTTTATCTTTTATCTTTTATTTAAGAAAGAGGAAATAAATGAGAAAGCATGGATATCTTCTTAAAATTTAAACAAATCCAATTAAAATTGTATTATTACTTTTTTTTTTTTTATAATATTTGTCCTTACTATTATCAGAAGCTTTCGTGATGTTGTATTTTTAATGAACATTGTTATATCACATATCGTTAACCTATTATGTATTACATTGAAACATTTTCTTCGTTCGATTGAGAAATGTATATTTGCAACTAGCGACAATAACCATTTTGTACGAATGATTTTTCATTATTGTTTTTTTTTTTTTATCTTTATCTATCGTTAAACGTGTCTGATAAATAAGTACGTAACGAAAACAATGAAGACATCATGAGAAATAGAAATATATATCTTATTGTCATAATATGAGTATTATTTTATTATTTGAGAAAATAAAATAGGTCACGTTCGTAAGATTTAATCAGTATATTTAAAGTCGAGATCATGAATTTTTTATGATCCTTTTCGATGTATGGTAATCTTCGGGAGAAAAAAATACTAGATAGGGTCTCGAAAAAAAAATTATGATACAGGATACAAGATTTCAATGTTGTGAAATCAATAGATTGTATAACAATCATACAATGTTATATAATCGTACCACATTCTTGGAACCAATTAGCTTCATGAAATTTGTTAAGTTAGAACGAACAAACTGATAATGTTCGAATTGAATTATTTTTTCCTCTTTCTTTCTCTTTTTGTTTTCTTTCAAACTTACCAATGCGAACGCGTGAAACATTTATTTTCTTAATCACATACTATCGATCTAATCTTCGTTCTAAAACATTACGTTGAAATGTTCGAAGTTTGAACAGTTGGAATATATTGGCAAGAAAAAAAGAAAAACTTCCTTTTCGTAGAACATTCAAGTGACTTGCATCTAACAACAGCGAATATATTTTACATGACAATAAAGTACGAAGATAGGTACAAACAAGGATTCACACATTTGACATCGTTCGAACATTCGATCGGTATATACATATAATATGTATCTTACCTCGGTTATAATAATTCGGAACCTTTTTGTTTTCCATAAAGTTCGTGTCTAACCATTTGGTATATATAATATATTGGACATCGCGTTACTTATTTTCTTTCATTCGATTTATCAAGAGATAACGAAGGAGGTCAATGAACTTTTTGTCGATTTTTATATTTATAAAGAATCGAGAATAGGCTTTGAAAATGTCGTCAGACAATGATCTTACCAATGAAATGCTATTTCGTCGCCCTTGCCATCGTTCACGTTCTTGTCGAGTAGATTGAAACTGATATTGGTTTTGGCGCCTTCCATCCATTTAATAAATATTTCGCCTTTGGACATGTCGAAGTTATATGAAAAAAATTTGTCATCAGTCGCCGGTGTTTCCCAATAAAATTTGTTCGCGATCTCGCTCCAGAACTTGATCGGATTTTTCACAGAGCTAAAAAAATATCTTTAATAAATAATACATTTATTTAAAATATAATCCAACATAATGAAATTATTCGAAACTTTATGACGGAAGATCGATCTATCGATAATAATTGTTTTAATCGATAATAAACATATGTAAATAAATCAGTATATCTATGATACTTGAACAGATACTCTCTTCTCCACAGTGTCGCATCTATTGGATCGATAACAACTTTCTATTTTCATAGATTCCTTATTTGGGAGATATGGGCATTAAATAAAAAAGAATCATACAAATTATTTTCCTACGATACACATCTTATTTTTTACATATAATTTTCACAAACGTAAGTGTAACGATGAAACAATAATTATTCCTTATTTTACCTAAGATCAAACTTTACATTTGATTGTTTCTATAAGTAATCTAATAGAATATAAAACAAAGATTTTTAATTGAAATCAAATAATAATAAAATTTATCTAAGAGATCCTTCTAAGTCTATTTTTCTTTTTGATAATGCTATTTTATCTGAATTTGAAACTAAACATTATATACAAATGACTTAATACTCTTATTATTTTTCCTCTTTAGAAAAAAAAAAGAATTATACACAAATAGAAATAAATAAAGGAAAAATGGATAGGAATGCAGAATGGAAAAAAAAATTGATAATAAATTATATTTATAAAATTTGAAACAAAGAGAGGTGGCCTAGAATCGAATTGCGCATGCGCCTTTAAAATCCATAAGAGCCATCGAGTTCGATCGAGTTCCTCTGGCATCCCTTCTTTTGTACCTTATTCTCTCTCATCCTTGACCCTACCTCATATTCACCACCCATCGGGGGATCCTTCGTTATAGAAACGAAATGTTGAATATAATAAAGCTCTTCTCACTCACTTGTTATACATCTGCCTGTATTGTTCCATACTCGAACAGTAAGCATTTCGCGCCAGCTCACGATTCGGATGGTATATCCTGTCTGCCATTTTTGAAATAATTCCTATCTTCCAACGTATCGCGATCTTTTTCCCCTGTCTTAGACAGTCTGTATCTTCTTTGATATTTCTTGATTAAAAGATTATCTTCATAGGAATATTTTCGATTTTTTCTTTATTTCTTTTTTTCGTTCCTTCTTAATCGAGTTATAAATAATTGATAAATGTTAACGAAAATTCATCTGCCGATCAATATGATAATAGATGAAAGAAAAGATAGTCGTGTCGAATTTGAAAAGATCTCAATTGAGTCGTAGTTTAGTTATGATCGAATAAGATTTAGGACCGATATAATAAGGATAAGATCGAAATTACTATGAACGAATGAGAAAAAGGAGAAGAATGCGTACGGCTTTTAACCATCTACAATTCTCAGACTTATAACCGGCTCGGTTGATAAACCACGACTGATTCCGTCACGCTAAACAGGAGAGAGAGAACTCGTCGTTGTTGAAGGCCGCATCGCGAAGCAAAGTGGGGGAGCTCGAGGAAGGGATCAGCGAAAATGTCAGGAGCGTGCAAAAATTGTCCGCTCTGCGGACATTCCAACCTGCGAACCTTTTTACCTGTCTAATTATTTCTTTCATGAGCTATTTTTTACTTTTTTTCTTTTTTTTCTTTGATAATATCGTTAAACATATTTTTTACACTAAATCATTCTTTGTTTTTTTTTTTTTTCTTTTTCTATTAAAAATCGCCCATCTAATTAGATTTTACGTCATGACAAAAATTAATATCTTTCGGATAAATGCGCATGCCTCCATTTTACTGCACTTTTGTTCGTGACAATTTTTGCAAAGAAGATTTATACAATCTTACTTGCGTTTTCATGGGGAACTATATAAATTTATTTGCGAACGTGAGAACCCATATTCAAATGACATTTATCATAGGATCACGGTATTATTTCGTAACAAGAAAGATAAATATATTGTGTAATAAGTTGTTTAAATTATACGATAACATATTTCATCTACAAACGGACAAAGATTAAAAGAAATATTCATTCGTATCTAATTTTACGTAAGTAACGATTAAAGTTGAAAAAAAAAAAGAAAAAAAAAAAAAAGAACAAACGTAAAAAAATAAAAAAATAAAGATGAAGGAACAAAGAGCATTACTACGATATTATTAAAATAAAATAGAACGATAATCCAGTATTAAGAGGAGGACGAATAAAAGAGTCAATTTATAAATTACAGCGAACCATCCCGTGGCCCCTTTGTCTTTTGATGCACCCTTGAACATAAAGAGGATCGATAAACGCGCATACTTTCTAATTCTATTTTGAATATTCTTTCTTCTGCTTTTCTTTCATCCTTTTTATTTCTCTATTCATTCATCTATGTTATTATACTATATCACGAATCAGCATACTATTTTAATCAATATTAAAATATCACTTTCATATCTATGTTTGTAAATAATATAAACTTTTATCATTCGGATAAAACGTTACAAATAGATATATTATCTTTCTATGGTATGTCGATATGACTTTGCATTTACTTATACGAGTACAATTGTAATTCAGTGATAAATCAAGGACTCTATTACTCCTGAAACGTATCTCGAATACGTATACATTCTAGTATAGTTCTTCTTTTTTATTAATGATCGCGATATCGATTAAAAGACCTTGATCTACGATTAAGATAAAGTAGCTTGGATTAATAAAAATATCAAAAGGTAGAAGGTCTGACTTTCTATTTTTTTTCCTTTTCTTTTTTGTTTTTTAAGAAAGCACGAACGTTATTTAATACATACTTGAAAGCTAAATGGAATGATAAAATAGTTGTATAATAAAAAAGAAGAAAAAAAGGAAAAAAAGAACAGCCTTAACATTCATCATCGCATAAGTCGCTTCTTTAACCATTCATCATCGCATGCTCCCTGTATCTTATTGATGACTTTAGTCACTCATTAAAATTTATAGAAAATTTGTGACGTAAGCATCTCTACGTTTATATTCTTGTTTCAAAATTTTTCAAATATAATTATATTGTTAAACAATATTTTTTATTTTCATTATTCCAACATGTGCATTTATTTATATTTCTTTTGTATATTTAGCTCGATGCAACTTGACTGAGGAAACAATAATTTACATGACGCGAGACAGTATCAAAAGTTTTGTCAACGTCAAAGTATACATACGTCCAGTATATTATTAAGTACAAATAACGTGCATTGAAGTATACGTTAAAAATATCTTACCAATCCTATCAATGAAGTCGATAATATTATCTACAGTCGCTAACGAAAGAAATTATTCGATCGATAAGTTGAATCTTTATAATCGATCACTGTTATATCAAAGCACACATATTATCGACGTATCATGGACAACAAGTAATCATACTCAAGGGGTTTAAACGTGAAATATTATTTCTTTTCACATAAATACTGTAATTTCTTGATTAAAATATTTAACATATAATATTTTTTATAATATTTTAACACAAACATAAACAAGCTGATATTTTTCTTTAAATAAATTTTCTATATTTTTATAATTTTATATTTAATTTCAATGTTTCCGTTAAAATATTTTCCACGTTAAGCTTGAAATAAAAAAAAAAGGTATGCGTATAGCGGTAATTGCGTAAGATAACGAAGACAATGAATATTCCATAAAGCGTAAGAGGTATACTTAACGTTTAATTTCATCAATTTCGATTGGCTTCCAAGCAAAACGCTTACATGCAACAATCGGAAATAAGAATGACTTAAGAAGGGAATATATTCAACAAGTATCAGGAAGGACGTTCTAAAGAATTCTTTGTTAATCAACTTGCAAATTACAGATCATTTCAAAAAACAAACATTTACATTTCTAATCGACCAGTCAATTTCACGTATAAAGTACTTTTATACGGTATAAAATATTTTTATAATTAAACGAAAATATTTGTTATAATGAAATACCACGTTTAAAGGATACGAAGAAATAAACTAAAAAAGGAAAAATGTCAAAGTCGAATAGACCAATATGTACCAAACAAGATAAATATAAATACGAAAAACGACCTCGGACGACTTGTTTGGTATAATATTCGAGCAGTGCACCCGAGGTCTTTGACTATTCGCGTTTCGTCGCTTGCCTCGCAAGCTCGTCGTTCTCATAACACATTCTGCATATAAAGTATTGTCGACTGCCGCTATATAAATTTTTTCTCTTCCTTTTTAATTAACAGGTATCTCACGTATGCGATAGCTCTTCTCTTCTTCTTGCTTTTTTTCTTTTTTTTTTTTTTTTTTTTTTTTTTTCTTTCTTTCTTTCTTTTTTTTCTATGCGCTTATGAGAAGAGGAGTCGTCCTGGAGTACATATAAAGCCACTCGAGGAATCGACGAAAGATTTTCCATTTCACGTTGAATCGCGCCAGAACGCACTTTAGAGAAAGAAAATATAATTTTTTTCGTAGATTTTGTAGACGAGCACAGTGATAGATTTAAAATGTAAATAGTCAAACGGTAATACAGGAAATCAATGAATTTGACTGAGATCGAAGGATTTTCAAAGAAACGATTTAATCATTTTGAAAACTACTTATGACGATGAGGATAACGACGATGATGACGACGATGAACCGATTATACGTTTTCCTTTTTCTCGCGAGTATCTCTGCATCGGAAAAGGTACGTTACGACGGTCATAAACTCTACAAGGTCCATGTTGATAATTACGATAGTTTTAATGCTTTAACGAATATGCAAGAAGACGAGGGTTATAATTTTTGGAATTTACCGAGGATGAATGATTCCTCGTTAATCGTCGTTGCTCCAAAAAGGATCGATGA